AGGGCGGGATGGGGGCAGGAGACGTGGATGGGGTAGGAGATTTGGGGGCAGGATGGGGGCAGGAGATTTGCACCCTGGATTCTTTGGACATTTGTGAAGAAAGTGACAAGAGTCTACACTGTGGCACTGGTACTAGTGGACAAAAAAGGGACCTCTTGTTCAGGAGAAAAATTATTTTTCCACCTCCAAGCGGGTCATGCCACTACAACAAGAAGCAAGTCAAGTATTATGGTACATAGAAACAACTTGAAGGAAGATTAAACTTGAAATAACAGTGCAAAGAGTACCAACGCACAATACCTTAAAGTTCAATTCAGAATATTGTCTTCTTTGCACAGGATAAAAGTCGCCGATTCTATGTTTTGAGATGTTTCCGCCAGAAATTTCTCACTTTGAGTGGTTACAAGAACATGAAGGAATATAAAGCACCTTCTGGAGGTCACCATAAGACGGTGGAACAGATTGTTGTGTCACAAAATGCTAAGGTAGGCCTGTGTGGGTTCAGATCATGTCTGTAGCCTTATTACGTCCCGGTTGTTCCCAGTGCATCCGGTCAACGGAGTCCGCTGTGTATGGGGGGACTCAGCTGTCATTATTCATACATGAAATAGCAATTAAGCCAACATGACCTGGATATAGAAAAAATCGTTTAAATACTCTGCAGCTTACGCATAGGAGGCGTTTATATAAAGAGATTGGTGGTGTATATGGGCATGTGGTGTATATCATAACATTAAGGTAGACCACAAACAAAACGTTAAAATATTTATTACCAAAAGACGGCATTTTGTTTTAAAAATGTCATTAAAATGCCGTGCGATAAGAACATGTTAATTTCGAGCATGGGTGTAATTCGCGTAATTTTGTGACAGCAACTCACCAAGCAAAATATTATTAGAATTGTTATTTCTAGGTTAAGTTTAAATGTCTATATTTCCTTGAATAAAGAACCAAGGTTGTTGAATAAGTGCGCAGCACACCTGTCTTGCTCCTGCTCTGACAGCAGGATTACGACCAGAGGGTAATTAAGCGAGCATATAGCAAGCCGGAAGAATACTTTTCCATCACGTCGTCATCTAGTACTTTTTACGAATGAGTCCAGGAAGTTTTTTTTTCACACAATAGGAGGGGTTACCACATGTGGGTGTCAGTTTGGTAAAGCTTTTTGATCTTTTTGTTATGTCCTGAACTGTACACGTCAGATAAGACCCCTACATGGTTGATACTTTTTAGGAGCCTTCGAACCCTTCAGACATAGGCTCTTTATGTGGGAACCAAAGTGACATGGCAAGACCCTGTTCACTGGCACTATGTCCTTATTTTTCTAAGTTTTCAACAATCAATATGTATTGAATAGCGCTGTATAACCAGAATAAACATCATATTAAACTGGAGCTTCTGCCCACCACTTATTTTTCATGAACATGGATCTCAATATAATTAGTACAAATTTATGGCACTTTTGATCACCTTAGGTAGGCCTAAGTGAGTCAGACTATCGGATTGTTCTTCCGTGGCATTAATAAAAATGAGGACATCAAAAATTAATAAATGATGGTTCCCAATTTTCAAAATATTTAGCCATGTCCAAGATATGAAGAAAGTAATCTCGTTTTCCTTTTTTAACTCTATATATAGAACAACACTGATTATGATGAAAGTAATAAAAATAGAACGAAACTAAAAAAAAAACTAAAAATATAGAACGAAACTACGATGAAGCGCCGCCACCTCGACACCAGACTGGTTGTGATATACGGCAAAATGTAAAATTATAGAACGAAAACGTAATACGAAAACGTTAAATATATAGAACAAAAACGTGAAATATTTCAGACGAAGCGTCATCTACCGACAGTCTCGCGGACCTCGTGCAGCGTGCGCGCCTTGGCCGACACGAAAGAATTACACGGACAACACTTGATGCCCGTGCACAAACCTATGAGACCTGTCTTTCCAAGTAAATGCTTCGGATATTTGGTTGCGTTTCTGACAGCTCCTGTGACTTTTTAAATAAAAAAGTAGTGTTATCTGTGACTCTTATATGGACCTTTTTTCACCGATCATATCAGACTGGAAACTATACCTGTACTCCTCAAAGTACGGCTTATTCAAGCATAAAAAGTGCAATCCCATGCATAACAGCCAACATAGTAAAACCAAAAATTATATTAAAAAACCCTTTTGTCCCAGCATCACGTTTGGAACCAGACTTTTTTGGCCGTATAGAGATATTTTGGCTCTCTTTTCAATAATCACAGTCATTTGCAAAAGTATAAGACCACCTTGGTGCATCAGTGTAACATCAGTGTAGTGCTACATACCCATTTGAAGGAAATTTTTTGCAAAGGCAGGTCTTGTATGACATTTTATCTGCAAGGCAGCATGGGTAAAAAAAGCCAGTCTAAGCAATCAGAAATAAGGGAGGGCACACTGAATATTAGACTGTTAACATGTCAAATCATGAAAATGTAGTCGAAAATGTTCAACCTAGGTACCAAGGTTACACATTGGAAATAAACACTAGTTGCCATGAGTGGTTGGTTGAAGTTTGGTTTTCCTTCAGGTTAATGCATTTTCTATGGGTGGTCCTAAACTTTTGCAAATGACTGTATATGGGAAATACATGTAGTACCGTACCGTTGAATTCACTGTAATGTATAGCTAGCTCATGCCCCTTTTTTCAGCATTGTGGGCGTGATCGTATGGCCCATTCACCCCTTCAAAAGCGGAAGGGTATATCCCCTGTGGCATACGCTGTTGTTGTATGTAAAAAAAGGGTAATATGGCATTAACAATGTAGGAAAAATATATCTCCACTTCTGTAGTCGCTGCCCCCTCCATTACGACCCCCTTCATATGTTCTGTAATTTGACTGTGTGTAGTTACTCCTTTTTCTTTCCTTTTATCAGCTCCAATTATTATCTTAGACTTGTTTTTTTCTCACTCACTTTTGTAGATTCTCAGCATGCAGCTACCATCCAAGAAACACAAAGCGTCTCATGTGCTTTGCATAATCCAAGACAAACAAACTGTGTATTTAGAAGCAGATACAAGGTTTGCTGAATAATGTTAAAACTATACCATTGTAATATTAAAAAGTGATATTATTTTTAAGAGTTTAAATATAACCTCGGGAGTGTTTTGTCGTACTTTGTTCATTCAAAGGTCATCTTCGTATCTTGAAGCATACCCCAGTTAAGCTAGTTTTAAGAGCATAATGCAATGAATATTGCAGTCTCCGTAATGTTTTCTCTTGACAGTGCATAGTCATTTCATATGAAGACATGATACACGAAAGAATTCTAATTCTTATGCATGTTAGATGTGACATCACGGGATCGTGTTTGGCGTGACGATGCTAAAAAGTTTTCCTAGCTTGGTACCAAGCACTTAAATTCTAAAACAAAAAGGAAAAATAATCCTCAAAATCCGCAAAAGTATAGTAACTCTTTCCTGGATGGCATCATTCCTGTGTCATAAGCATAGAAAGTTCGGCATAGCCTGCAATGTTTCAGCATTCGTGCGTAAAAAGATTGTGAGCAACTTTTGGATTCGTTTTTAATGTGCAGTTTCTTATAAAATGTTATTATTTTGCCGGGTAAAAGCCGCATGATGGACCTCTCGACAGATCAGTGCACTTTAACTATTATACCTTCATGGAATGGAAAATAAAAGGTACACTTTTTATCCTACTGCGTTGTTTTATTTCATTTTTGAAATTGCATCAGTGAGGACTTAACTGCCTGGTGCGATGTCTTTAACGACATTTTCATTCGTCTGGGCTGGAAGCAACCCCCGTCTTCCCCTCCACCCTCACCTGCGCCTCCGCCGCCTGATCGGCCAGCTTCTTCAGATGACAAAGTTCCAAGCCGAAGGAAAGTGAAGTCAGGACCACTCAGAGGCAGCACTTTTGAACTGTTCCAGGTATATATAATGAGCCGTGTCTGACAATAATCATTGTTGTTTAATAGAATGGAGATGTAGAGGATGTTTTTTTGCCGGGTAAATTAAGACCATGTACCGGGGTATAGTATGTTTGATGGGGATAGACAGGTTCGATGGGAGCTGCAGGCATATTTGTATTTTTTGAAATCTTCTTGTCACTATTTGTAATCGCTGTCGTAAAAACTTTAACTTTTAGACTAACAGTCCAATTTAATTTGATTTCTCCCTTGGGAAACTTTGTAAAACTGGAACAAAGAAATTGGCTTCAATTTGTTTGTATAGGACATGATTATCTCTCTCTGTAGCGAGTAGTTAGTTTTGAATTTATAAAGAAGTGAACTTTGCGGTTTAATTGCCGAAATGTCTACTGCAGTTTGAGTTGCTAATGAATGACTGGTTGTTGTCAATACTTGTATTGCTTTTTAAAGATTCAACATCTTAGATGTCGATATTTCAGTCGTTACAAGAAGGTGTATTTTTCACCCTGAAATCTCTAACAGAATGGTGAGGAGTCTAATCAGTTACGCTTCTCTTCACCCCCGATAAACATCACAGATGGCGGCTCGGCAGCATCAGCCTTTGACTTTGAACGTCCAAAGAGTTCTCAGGCTGAGTACTTCAAGGAATTTTATTCCTTCTCAGAAACTGCAGGTCAGCATCACATTTCTTTGAAAAGGCTGCCCATAAAAGGCAGATTTGTTTTTTCGTAAAGTTTCATCCATTAGCGATGAGGCAAACCAACACATAGGCCTATTACAGGGTTAGGAAACTTTAATTCAGTTACCGAGTGAGTTTGGGTTTGTGATTTTTACCAATGTTTTCGTTTGCTCACTCAGTAACTCTACCGCTATGAAACAGTTTGAAAAGAAAATGTTTAGCGCTTCAACGCAGAAGACTGTCTTGCTGATGTACCGTACGTTTTAATTGGAATTCATTGTCGTCCGAAGGCGGTTTAAAACCTGACGGAGATGTTAATAGAGCTATTTATTTAACCTGTTTATTTAGTTAAACTGATACCTTTTTGTCTTAAAGTCCTCAAAGAATTGTGATTTTGTAAACACAGATTTCGCGGGATACGTGAACGTACACAAGGTCGTGGACCGTCACGGGTTGCATGAAAATAGCCAAATGCACGAGGAGCGTGTGGTCGACATGCCAAACATTGGTTATGTAAACCTAAGAGGGAAAGAACAGCACCACGAACGTGTACATCCTGGGCCTCCTCCATCACTGCCACCCAGACCAAATCGACATAAAAGGGGCAACACATTCCCAGGGACTCATCTCCCAACACATGACTCATCAGTCAATCAGTACTCTACGAACTCTGGCGATGATGTTAATGATGATACTCGCCCCGTTCGTGCCAATAGTGAGCACACTCCTAAGATCAGCGTGAATGAGTCTGAGCCTCCTATTTCGCCTTTGACTAGTAAGAGGTTTCTACATTTGCACGAAGATTCTGACGTCAATCGCAAGATTTCTTTGCCGCAGCCACTTAACAGTAAACCTAGACGCCTTGGCATTGTAGTTCCTCCTTGCACCATGTGTATTTCACCTCCTGACTCTCCTGTTATGTTGCGAAAGACTGGGTCCTACTCCAATCTGTCGCTCAATCTCTCCAGTAGACCACTGCCTTCACCAGTACATGGCGACTCCTTTGATGTCAAGTAAGTCATCAAACATATAAAAACCTTGGAAAGCACAAAAATGCGGAGCAGAAACATAAGCGGATGGTAGTTACCATTTAAAAAGCCATTAAAGGCCCCACTAATTGCATGAGCATTGTCTTGGAGCTTCAAGGAGGAATCCTATTCGCTTAGCATGGTCTGATATGTACACGTATTTTAAGTTTTCTGGTTTTGCATAATTTTGGTGAATTTGTGGAACTATATATTTTTCAAAGTTGTTTGGCACGCGACAAACTAAAGAAATATTTTCATTTCTCCGAAGCATACGCTGTGTTCATCTTGAATTTTTTCTGAATTGGCCGCAATGAAAAGATTTTCCTTCCGTTTTGAAGGGGGTGGAACTCAAGACAGGCAATTTTGTCGGTTCCCAAGTGTGCAATTCCTTTTGTATTTGCTGAAAAAGGATGCCTACCATACAGAACATACTGCCTGCCTAGAGACGGTTTTATTGCATTTTTATGAGCTCAATTCGATGCTTTGCCCCCCCCCCCCAAGACAAGGGTTTGGTAATTAAGATCCAGATTGCATGTCATCAGGAAGCTATTACATGGATAAATTTAATCCAAGATGGTTGCCATTGATGCAAAAGTGCATGAAGGTGGCTTTTTATTGCATACTTGATAAATTGGATGCTCCGCACCTGAAACGGTAGGTTTTGCCACTTGGACCAAGATATCACGTCGTCTGCAAGTTTTGATGAATAGAAAACCCCTAAGGCGGTCACCATGCTTGAAAAATCCAAAATGGCTTCGACATATGAAGAATCATAAGTATAGATATTCGCCGGGATTTCCTGCATTTTCATCGGTGTCTGTCGGATGCCTTATCCCTGAAGATGTAGGTTTAGCAACTGAAATCAAACGTTTTGCAATCCAAAAGACCAAACAGGAGCAATTAAAGACCATTTTATATTGGCAGTTTTAAAAGAGTCTATCATGACCGCTGTAAAACATGCATTATTTGATTCGACGTGTTTAAAAATAATTACATTCTAGTTGGCGGCATTGTACTCTTACCCTTGGAAAAATTTGTACTCATTGGAATCAAGAGAGCTCGCCTGGAAGCTATGAGAAACAATATACGCAGTATGCTGACTATATGGAGTTAGGATAAAATACATACCAGCGGATTTGGTTATTCGCATTAAAACCCTCCTATGCTAAGATGCATTCTTGACACAGTTGTCATATCAGTCAAAATCAGTCAAATTTCCCATACGTGTCTGAGTATTGGGGGAAATCGATTGGAAGGCATTTTTGACTGTTTTTGACGGTGAAAACAGAAGGAGGGTTTTTAATAGAGCCACTGAATGCCTTGCCACTGCAGTTATGAGTTAAATCGCAAGAATGAAGGTCATAGGTCTTAAATGAATTTTTTTCTCCGGTGGCCGCCATTAAAAAAAAAAACTGAGATGGCTGTCATAACAAAATAACTGCCGGAAGTGGCCAAATTGCATTATTAAAAGCACTGCAATCACGATCCTCGTTGCTTGTTTTATGGCAGACATTTAGGAAAATTCAGAGATGGCCACTACATATACTTCGAAGCAAATGGAAATCTTTTCTTTAAATTTAATACACAATACCAAATTGACAATTCAAAAAACGTAGACGTTGGTAAATCCCAAAACTTTAAACAAAATAATATGACACACCTGACTGTCATCTTGCCTAGCGTTTCTGTCGTTTGACATCCCTGATTAAAAAGTGGTCGCGTGCCTAGATTTGTCAATAGGGTCACTTGTTTATGTTGGGAACTACACACTATGTACATGACAGAGTCACTTTGATATGCTGCATTTGCAAGTTGTCTCACTTCCTTCTCAATAGCTCTCCGTCGTATTGGAAGGAATATATTCTATTTACATATTTCGATTTGTTTTGCTGGAAGGAAATATCCAGGAAAGACAAACAGTGAGCCATGCATGCAAGCATAAAATGTCCTTGACTTGGTTAGCAGCGCTGGAATTAAAATGCACATACCTCTTTTTTTCGTTAAACCAAACTGTAAATCAGAATTGTTCATTATATAGCACGCTGCGTTGGGAGATGAGCCATAAAGACGGCTTTCCTATCGTCTTGAAGAAGACTGATTTACAGGATGCACTGGGACTTGTACGAATAGCCGATTTTGTATGGTGAGTGTACCGTAAAGGTTCGTAAAGTAAATGTGATAGTGGTATAATGTGAATTTCTCCTATCAAATCTTGTTGGTCGTTGTATTTTGAATGGGGTTGTCTCATAAATTCCTCTTCCTTAATCTAAATGGAAATAATCCTGTGACGAAAAATGAATTATGTGTTCCATTTGTGCACAAGTTTTCAGTACACGAAATATTCGCAGGTGAGTACTGAGACATTTCATAGTATTTTTTTTTTAATATAATCGTACATTTATTCCGTAGGATTGCCGGTTGGAAAGCAGGGAAATCTGAAGTAGCCAACAAACTTCATGTTGGAGATCAGCTACGGCAGGTCAATGAACAAATAGTTGTTGATCCGTCGGTCAGCAATTCACTGTTTGCGACATCTGCTGTAGATGAGGTAACGCTTATTTCATGGATTGAGCTCTTGCGGAATATTTCGACTATAAGAATTACCTGCCTTTTTAATTATTTTTTTGTTTGGTGTAGATATTGCTGGTTATCAAACGGTTACCTCACGCCAAAGTACGTAACCTTCACCGATCTTCGGTGGACGAAAGCTGGGGGCTTGAAGTCGAAGGCAACAGGGTATGTTGTTTTGTGTTTTATGGACAAGAACATGTTTCTCGTAAAAGTAAAGTTTGAGTCCACTTGGTTGTGTCTCTATCACATAGGCCTACATGTTTTGCTGCAAAGAGATCATTTTTTGCTAGCTCTCGTGTTGCTGTTTAGTAACGACAGTGATGCCATGTTAAACTCACTTTAAGCCAAAAACGGTAGATTCTGTCAAATCTGCTACATTTTTGGATATTTTTTCCCTTCATTGTTAAAGTTTGTGCTTTTGTGTGTGTGTTTTCTGTTTAAAATGATGTAGGCCTATTACGAACATTTATTACCAATGTAGGAATTGTTCAATAGCTGTTCGTAAACTGATAGCTTTACAAAAGAATGCTGAATGCATTACTGATAATCACAACGCCAAAATGTTCTTTTTGTTGGGATACACAACAGTAAATGTTGTCAGGTTCATCATACAAAGTCTCAGCGCAGGGTGAGATGCTTCTTGTTGGCAAACAGACAGGGGTGGGGTCTTCCCCTTCCCCTCATTCTAATGTAATAGGATTGTAATATTCGATGTCATGATCTTCCTGCTAGGTGCTAAACGTTTCTAAAAGTGGACCTGCAGCAGAAGCTAAATTAACAACTCGAGCCCAGGGTGCGTTTAGCGAGAGGTTGTGTGACTGGATCATTACAGAGATAAACGGGGAACCAGTGTCATTACTCAGCAAAAAAGACCAGGTATTTCCTTACAAGAAAAGATTTATATTTGCATTTCATGCAATCAAAGAGCTTGGAGGTTCCATGGGATGAGTTTTTCGGTGGGATATTTCATTGCTGACAGCATCATCAACACGGAATGAACCGATGGGTTCATGTTAGCTGGGGTCGCAAGAAAATGTACGTTCACTTACCATAGTGATGCAGCTACACTCGGAATCTTGCCATTCTAAGTTTGGACACATGCGTAAAAAGTACTTTACTAGTTAATCAAAACTAAATGCATAATGGCGCCACAGAACCACTGTAAATCAAAACGCCGATGGGCGCTTTTTTCTGCTGTGTAACGCTGGGACCTGATTTGTTTGTGATCACTGTAATTGCTGTTGACAGGTCAAGGTTCGAATGGATAGTGCTGGTCTCCAAATGACGCTTGTCATCCAACCTGATGATTTCATCAAGAAACTTAACTCGGAGCTACAGAAAGTCAGATTCGCCCACGAGTACTTTCTCGGGCCGGACAGCCAAGACCAATGACCATAGCTGGGGATTAACTTTGCCAATGCTTTCGTTTCATTTACAGCCATACAGCAAAGACTAAACGTAAAACAAATGGAAAACTTCCGAGACGCTTGGTGGCAGCACTCATACCGGTCCAACAAGTCCATTGTTGTTTCTGTCACTTTTTAACTAATGTGCGCATTTTCATTATGATGCAAACAGTAGAGGACATGTCACTTGGGACCTTAAACATCAAATACCCATTATTCCACTGTACTAAATAAACGCTCAAAGAAAACAAAGCATAATCGGTTAGAAACAACGGGTGGCGCTCTTTTGAAGATTGTAGCCGTGCATGTTTACTGGAAATTCAAGATTATGCTCTTAAAATCAATTTTCTTTTTAATTTTGTAAAAGTTAAACACGAAAATGAATATTAACAGCCTTTCCCCCAATATACTCCCCTCAAATATTAGTCAAGCTCCACGCTCAGGTCTGAATGTACCCCCTCCTCTATTCACAGTCCTACAAGTGGAGGTTTTTGTGGACGAAATGCCCGGAATTGAAAGCCACAATTCGTGAGAAACATCTCTTCGATCGGTCCCGATAATGTATCAGAAAATATAAATTACTTCGTGTAATGCACCTCCGTAGACCGACAACAAGACCGTAATTCCAGGGAAGGCGCCATTTGTAAAACAATGACAAACTGCTACATCATCCCCAGGGATTACTTTATTTGGTGCACTTCTAGGAAAAGTGATGAACGACGTTGGAACAAACTATGGTAAATGAGTCCAACAAACATTAGGCTTACAGGTCATTGCGCGTCTTCCAACGTTTTCATCGTTTCTCCACGCATTCAGGTAACAATTGTAGCCCGTTTCATGACAACAGAAGAAAGTCCAGAACAAGACTCTCAAAGGGTAAACCTATTTTGGGAGCACATTTAACACGAAAAGACTGAATTGTACAAAGGTGAAATCATGATCAATTCCAGACATCTGTGTTATTTAATGACGATTAATCAAAGTTTACCAGTAAATTGTGATTTGACATACGTTTTCTCGAGTTCATCTGTAAGGGCGCCGAGAATGTTTTCCAAAACATTAAATAATTCGCGAATTTTAATAAGCACGAAGTTGAGGCTATCAATAAGAATAGTAGTGAACTTCAATATGAAGAAATCTTATGGTTCTTGGTATTTATCGAGGTTTATTGAATGCACGCAATGAATATAGATGGCAGTGGAAGTGTTACAATCTCTTGAGATCGAAAGAACCAGCGCGTTTTTGCAAATATTGAACAATAGCAAAACTATTCATCATGTACCTAAACACAAAAAGTTGAAGTCACCGTTGGTTGTGTTTATTCCAAGTTTCCGATTTGTGTCACGCATTCCAACATCGCTGTATTTTGTCCTCTGTTAAACTACTTCCTCCCACGGTTTTATGTTTAGTCGGGCCTGGTCAAATTTTCGGCACCTAGACGTTTATTTTATATAGACGTTGTTGGTATTGGTATTTTTGACCGATTTGTTGCTACCAAGCGTCTCAGTAGTCCTCCATTGCATATAAAAGGATCTCTTGATTCAGTAGTAAAATAATCCAAACAAAACACAACAAAAACTCACCACAAAGAAACTTCAGAAAGGTAGTGTGGAGAAAGGTTAGTTATTAATACAATAATAAATGCGTATACACCCCGGTACATGCCATGTATGTACCGTAGTAGATATGTTATTGTACATCTCACTACAACTGGAGCTGTGTTTATTTTTTTTCTTCCGATGCAGGCTGTTTCTCATGGTTTTTTTTTGGGGGGGGGGTTAAGGTTTTATTTGCTTTTGTTTTAATTTCTTTGTGAGGTTTGTGTTTTTATTCTCCCTGCGCGAATAACCTGTTCTCTCCATATCAATGGGAACATTAATTTTTGTAGTTACACGTATCTGAAAACGCTTCCCGAAACATTGTTGAAATATCAAAAAATGTTGATACCAAAAACAACAGCAACTTTGCCCTGAGAATAGATCACAGTGTATAGATTAACAGATGTTATCCACTGATTAATAGTTTGAGTTGTAATATTAAAACGTAGCAAGATGACGTTTTGAGGATCCTTTGTGTGGTGATTGTATCAGTAGGTGTGAAAAAAGCAGGGATACATACGCACGCAGGATTATGCAAAGAAGGGTGACGTCCAATATCTTTTTAAATAATTTTACAAGAATGCAGCACGATGAAAATAATTCAGAGATGTTGAAAATCTGTCCACAGGATAGCAATTCCACCCACTCCCTTGTTTGTTAGTTCATTGTTGATGACATGACCTTGTCCCTTGTCCTGTAGCATGCGGTCTCTGTTGAATGAAGCATGTTGTAAACGATTGTTAAAACGCTGAGTTAGAGTCCTTTCCCGAGTCCCGAATTAAACCTTGATGTGGACTGGTTGCGTGACAAAAAGTTGTCTCACTTTTGATACGCGACGACGTGCTGTGGTGGTAGACTAAACACTTGCATGCATAAAGTTGGATTGAACGAAAACTTTCGATTAGCCATCACGTGATACTCGTGTCTGTCTGGATGTTGATTAGCCACTCGTACCCTCTTGCCAGCAATCTCTGTGTCAAAGCTGAGATCGTGAAATTTGTCTTGCACAAAAGTTATGGTTTACATGGCGGTCTTGAATGGGCGAAAAAACACCAGCCACCTCCCTCCAAAAAACGTTCCAGCGGGATCAATCTCCAGGAAAAAAAACATGAATGAGGTGGCGGTTTCCCCCAAAGGTATGGTTTTCCACGACCAAGGGTAGTCCGTAAACTGACATTGAGGTAATGTGGCTCTTTAAACAATACGACGTTGTGGATTCATCGAAAAACTTAAAGGAGTAGGCTAGTATAAACAATATGCACGCCTGTGCGACCACAACACTATGACATTTTTGCGTCCCTTTACACGTTGGCACGAGACGAAAACACATTCTGTTGAGAGGTGTAGGACCCAAACAATGATCATAGACTGAGTGGAGATTTTGTTGGAAAAACAGAAGGTTTAAAGTGTGGAGAATGCAGGTTTTGGTGATGAAATGGGTCTTCCGCTTTGCAGCTCGGAAAGGAGAGCCACGTTTGACAGTGCTGCATGTAACAGCCAGCAATGAACACCATGCCATCATGCTTTGAGGAATGATAGTGAGATGGCGATGTTTTTCGCGTGGAGAATTTTGTTTAAACTTCGAATAGAGTCTATTTCACTTGATGTATCTGACAGATATCTTACTCTTCGCTTAGTTTATAATGCATTTCGGGCGTACTAGAACAGCAGCTTGCGCGCACAAAATACTGGCGCCGGTAAATCGTGATGTGATATTTAGAATTAAAGTTTGTTTTCTAAGGTTGGTCGCCATTTTTTCGAAAACAACAGCTTTCTTGGCGGAAGTTTTTTACAGATTGACTGAGTCTGCTATTTACTTTCTTGCAAAGTAGATGTTACTTTAATAACTAGTCGACAGTCCCAATTTGTAATTGTTTTTGCCTATGGTGTATTGCACCTTATACACGCGTTTTACATATATTTATGTCTTCAGTGGAATTGAGGATCAAACAGTGCACAGTCTTTTCGCATAATTTTTGTTGTAGACTCCATCCCAGATTAGACTTGTCGAGCTTTTCCTTTTTAAAATAAGACGATTTTGACCTTGGTTTTGGGCAGAGTATGATATTACTCATAGTTTAAACCTATGCAGAGGATGTCTGTTGACAGATGCTCTATTTTTTGGTTTTCATTTAGAATTAGCAAAACATGGAATATTTGAGCTGATTCTAGTTTATGTTTGTAAATCTCAGTATTTTGTTTCGTAGACAATGATTTATAAAGCTGTAAATATTACCTTTTGCTGCCGTTGCAAATGAAATAAAATGAGTTCATGACTGTAACAAGATCGTCATATACTTGTCCCTACTAAACTAAAACCAAACTTAATGTTACAGTTAAAGTTGATCACGTCTTGGATTCAAATATGTTCACAGTATCGATGCTGTGGATAATGGAAGAGATAACCATGTATCAAGACTACTAATGTAGTGTCTCGTTCTTCTTTAAATTCACTCAGTCATTGCAGGTTAAGTACGTTTTACCCCATCATTTTGCAGTCATCTGCTACAATACAGATACATGTTTTTTCTCGTAGTATCAAAGTGCAGTTGCCTGAATTGAAGGAGCAGCTTGTTATATTTTCCCGCGTAAAATCCTCACGGCAATCGCACACTTCCCAACACAGAGAGTTACTGTCGGCGTCCCCCGATGAAAATAAATAAATAGATTTTAAAAATGCAGAAAAAAGATGTCTGAAAAGGAAACAAGAAAACAGAACAAGTCTACAAAGGTACTGGGGTTTACATGCCAACTAAATTAACAAGTCTACAAAGGTACTAGGGTTTACATGCCAACTAAATTAACAAGTCTACAAAGGTACTAGGGTTTACATGCCAACTAAATTAATTTTTTTCCAAGCCATGTTGCACCACTGTTTGATTGGCGGAGGGTATTACGTAGCAGTACGCGCGCATGCGTCAGATCAGCATCTCTTTCCGTTTCGCATGTACCCGTAGCCATGGGGGCGGAGGCGCAACAGAAACTATTGGCCCTGTGCCGTGTAACGAGAGAGCTGTGACAGTTAAGTTACCGTTACATTCTTCCAAATACAGAAAATTCGTCCTATATGAGTAAAGCGACGTTTGGGTCTACTGTGCAGTCCAAAGTGGTCAGAAGCTGTAAAAGGATTTTAACAGTCTCTCGCGATTTCATCTCTTTATATGTATTTGCTCACGCTTGTTCTGTCGTTTGCCCCGTGAAACGCAAGTAGTGACACTTTGACGTTTCGAAGCCACAGCCTTCCTCCACGCCCAGCCCCAGCCCCGGCCCCCCAAAAGAAAGAAAAACATACACCCCCCAAAAAAAAGAACCCTGGGCGTGTCATTTAATAAAAAAATGCACCAGGCAACTCCACAAAAAGGATAGCAACAATTTATTGGACAAGTGAAACATTGAAATGTACACCAGGTCAAGGTAAGACTAAATGAATGGCACGATGCATATCGAAAAACTCGCCTCCAAAGTCTGAAATTTACCGACAGTGTGAAGTATTGTTTAGTTTGGTAGACATCTGCTCCTATGTGTAAATATAAAATGCTGTTTATATAATTACATATCAGAATTATCACTTTATAGAATCACCTAGGGCCTACATATTGTATTCATTGTACTGTATGCTAATATGTAAAAGTAACTAATTACAATACTGCAGACATGAAAATTATAATTAGAAAAAGACTGCCTTTTAATAGAAATATTTCCTAAATAAAAAGTGCTAAGGTAAACTGTATCTTGTGATTACAATGTACATTAAATCAGCAGGCGAGCTTGCAAGGGTCGGTATGCCGGTTAATTTTTTTCTTACCATATCCTCACTCTTCCACAAAAATCTCCTGTTAGTATGCAGAGAAAATTGACAGTAGACAACGCTATTTTGGCTGGGATGCATAGACTGGTTGCCGCACTTACATTATGCCTTCTTTGGCAATGGCGCAGCGCGGCGAAAACCATTGCAGCATTGCTTTAATGCACAAAACATTGCGCACGTGGTTTACATGTAGTAAAAAACGCGAAGGAAACTTGTGAAAATAAAGGAAGTTTCTTTTCAAAAATTGGGAATGTAAGTAGGCGAACATATAAATACTAGCCTTTAGACGGGAAGACAGTTGTTGAAAAGTGTTTTCTGAAGACGGAAAAGACAACAGGATGTTTTGCAGGTTTTTAAAACTTGTTTTTCTAACTAGCCGATAAAAATTTAGGGTCGCGCTTAATGATCAGGAAACAGAGGTAATTTTTTGGCCTTATGCACACAACCATACCCTCAATTGTGAAGTTTTTGTGTGATTGTCGCAGGAAGGAATTTTTAGGGTCAAGATTGGTTGGAGTATAAGTCGTAATTCCAGTCACATTAGGTTTCCTGCAAAATACTTTTTATAACGTAACGTAACGTATGTGTGTTCGACACTTGGAAGTTTTGCTGAACAAATGGACTGAGAGCCATCTACACGTTTTATTAACTGTCCGTAGTTCCACTGAGTATACATGTACAAGCGGGAAACCCGACCTCGCCTGGTGCTGCGACACATGTCTCCTCCACCCGGGTTGCGGGGCGACATTTAGCCAGCTACCAGCCTGGGACCCGGAACAGCTACCCCTATACAGCTTCTTCACGAAACTTGTTCGTGATGCAAAATGAAACATGGTTTCTGGGCAGTGTTGTACCTGTTCGTGTGTATAATGTACATGTACATCATGGAAGCTATAGAAACTAACTAGAACTCTACGCCAAACATACAGATATATGAAGGAATAAAAAGGCTGCGCCAATCATAATTGCTGAGATAAATACGCGCGAGCTACAAAATGGCTGCCGCGTCAGATGTGAACAATTCGTTATTCCCACATTTTCCGCAACTATAAGACATAAGAGGCCTTTGAAATATGCAAGATGAACAATTTTAACATTTGACTTGTTGTCGAGGGGCACACACTGGTAGTACGCCCGGGTAAAATACACAATGGTGCAAAAGGAGGGTGTAACCATAAATATCCGATCGGATATCTGAGGGTGTGACTTGCTAAAATGCACACGCGCGTCAACTTAATGAACATTTGTCTCAGGATAGAGAGCCATTGCCGTAGCAATGTCTCTTTGGATTAGTCTATACAATCAACAGTATGCTGACAGCTGTGATTCCAATCTTTTAACCCTGTGATGGCGCATCACAGACCACACCTTGATATCCGTGATGACAATAGCACAGTGCACCGTGCCTATCTTCAATGCAGTAACCTTGGTGATTTGTGCAGTTGTTCGTTTCTCGCATAAGAGCGACGCATGGTTTAGACGTGATATGGGATGTGTTTGAACCCGACCCTTGACCAACGTTGCTGGATCCTGGGCCGACCTGAGGCAGGGTATTGCTACCGGCGGAACTTTCATCAGTCTGAGAGCTGTCGGTTCTGGTATCTTCCCCTGTGCTACCCGTGCCAGTCCCAGAGCCAGTGTAAATAGAATCCCTGTCAGAGTTCATTCCTGAACTAGTGTCATCAATATGCTGACAGGTGGAACCTCGGAACCCTTCATAGCAACGACAGAATGCACTCGTGCCATCCTCAACACAATACCCACGATGATTACAATACTCCGTCTGTTCCATCATTTCAACACATGGCCTAGTATTGTTCCTTGCCCAAGCTGTTTCATCACCAGTACCCGAACCACCGGAACCAATATTCGAACCAGTATTTCCAGAACCAACACTACCGCTTTCTGGGCCTGCATCGGAACCTCTGTTGGAATCAGAGACGCCATTTGAATCGTCTTGTGGACTACCGATAGCCTGCGCACAAGTTACACCCATAAACCCTTCGTGGCATCGACAGATCGCCCCTGTGCTGTCTTCATGGCAGTACCCATGGTTGTTGCAGTTATTTGTTTCTTGCATCATCTGAAAGCATGGTCTGGAGTCATGGGGCATTGCATGTGATCCTGATGATGGGTTTAAACTACTTGAGCCACCTCCACTAACTTGTGGAATGGAATTCTCACCAACCGAGTTACCGCTGTCCCCTGTGCCACCTGCAGATTCAGCTCCAGGTGAACCGCTGTCCATTTCACCATCAGGATTGTCTGTCGTAGTTGCTACTCCATCTGGGCCTTCCCCATCGGTCTCTCCATTTCCTGTAGATTGATGCATTCTGGTAATATAGTGTCCATTTGGTTGGTTGAGCGGGATAATAACGAACAGGAATCATCATGCTCAACCAACAATTATGTCAAATCAACACTTTTCTAAGCGCTCTACACAATGTCCTTCACATGCCATGTATTAACTGTGGAGGGTCCACACAGAAATTCACAGTATTGAAATTGTTCCTTGCAATATTTATCAGGTAACTAAAGAAACAAGTTAAAAAACAGAGAACCTTCGAGTAAAAGAAGACTGTTTGGCTCTGATGATCTGAACTTTACCACAAAAATGTCCATTGGACTTGCTATTGATCCATGACGCCTTTTATGAATTATTTGTATTTTGTCTTGGATGACCAGACATGACTGCGTAAAATCAAGTACGTGATTGTCTGCTAAGCGTACGTACACTCGCAGGGTCTATGCAATGAAATTTTGATATTGTTCTTGTAAACGCTCCTTTTTCCCGAATTTCTATTTTCACGTACCATGGGACATGTTAGTGCCTTGTTCGCTTTTGATATGCTGATGCGGATTCGCATATTTATGGCCAAAAGTATAAAGTCATGCAAGAGAGAAACTCCACTGTTGCCGATATTCCTACATCAACCTTTGCCAGAATTTGATTAGATATTTTCTGTCGGAAGATTTATTTTAGTGACTTGTTTTTGCTTAGCTTCATGAAAATAGGCCAGTGAGTACGTTTTCTCACAAATGTTTTTAATAAGCAAATTTTGGGTTCTCAAGTTGAACAGAATCCCTCAAAATGAAAAGTGTCTTCCTGTCAGGAAAAAATGGCAAATGTTAAATGTAATTTCAATAAGAGTAACCAGAAAAGGGTTTTCATTTTTTTCTCCTCGCAATTAGGAGGAAAGAAAGAAAGTCCCCAAAAATACGTATTATGATCCCTTTCAGCCCAGCATCAGTCAAGAAGTTAATGAGGCATTACCTTCAGTCGGCCGAGATTGACAGGTGCCTCCAGGGTAGCAAGAACACATACAGCTGAAGCTTCCATTCCTTCCAGGCTTGCACATGTTTCCTTCTCCACATGGGTTATCCATGCATGGATCTTCAAGAGGTTAGAAGCCAAGAAATTATAATTGCAATACTATGAGATTCGTTTAGTTTTACCGCAAATTGAAGGGCTGGAAAATTCTGTGGTTTACACTTTTCACAAGACAAAAATTCGACCCGGTAGGCATTGTATCAGTTGTGTAATGTGTATATTTCAACCTGTTACTCATCATCTTTCAATCTTTCAAATTACTCATATCTTTCAGCCTTTACAGACCACATATGCACAGACCTCATCACTCACCATAATATGTAGGTTAAACTAAATACAAACCAATGTGGTACGATCCTTTGTTTGTATTTAACACATGTATTGCACTTACCGTTGATCTCGCAGTTGGGACCCCTTAAACCTTCGGGGCACCTACACATGAAGTCACCTCTGTTCCTGAAGCCAGAGAAGCACTCGCCACCATTCTGGCATGGATTCATATCGCATGGTACTGTTGATATAAAAACAAATGGATTCAGGTCACATTGAGATCATCTACGCCACAGGCACATTACCCGGGATTCAAAACAGGACTCATCGGATTTAAAAAAAAATTATGACAATACAAATCGGATCAAATGTTCTAAGCACGCTTGAAGCGACCATGGATGTCATCTGTAGGAACATTCGTGGGAGAGTTTCAGGCGAACCACCAATAACAACACCAATAACTACCAATAACAATCAACCTTACTGATAGAAAGTAAATCACGTCCAAATGTTCTTACATATTTGACAGTTAGTTCCGCCGTAGAAGTTGGTACAACGGCAAATGTAGCCTGGTTCTGAGTCCGTGCTGGGCTCGCAAACACCGCCATTTTGACATGGATTATTATCACATGCCGACTTCAAGAGTTGCAGATCTGAAAACAGAATTTCACAGTATAACTGAAACATAAATATACATAAGAAACTGTGTCCGTGGATGATGCTAATTAAAACACCCATTGGGGAGAATGAATTCTAGGAGATGTCCTTTGGCGCACCAAGTGAGAGGAACTACACATTCAACGATGTAACCAATGTCTCTCAAAGCGACATGTTGCCTTTGTCGAAATTAAAAATGCCAAAAATGGTGCCCCTTCCTCTGGGAAGGGTCGAGGACTCTTTTACAAAATAAAAAAAAAATGGACAGCCATTTTTTGAAAAATATTCAGTTTTTCCCCAGGTCATCCCGGAGCTCAATATGTCACTGCTCACACCGACCAAATCTTGTTGACAGGACAGTGCTTGTTGGGAGGCACTGTTGCTTGCTTGTCTACCGTTTCCCAAATACAAGGGCATGACATGAATACATAAAGAAAACTTTGTAACGGTGATAATGAAACAAAAGCACTTTGTTACGATCAGCTGAGCGTAAAACGTTCTGAAAACAGACGCGTCCACAAAGCAAGAACTGCCTAATGTTTTCAGTGGTGGCCGAGTAGAAAGTAGACAACGACAGAAGTAGGAAGAAATATTCCCCGAAGGGAACTAGAGTACATTTTTGTAAAAAAGTACTTAATTTTAGTAAACACCAAATGATTTGAACTTGAAAGGGCTGCGCCAAAAAATATCCATGCTCATTAATATCGACCATTGGCATTCTTTTCGAATTTGAATATTCGCACGCAAAATTGACAATATGGGAAGGGAGAAAATTTATATTTCATAAAATTACATACTATTACAAGATGAATCAAAACTGCAAGCGGAAGCTAATACATGTATGTCCCAGCGTAAAATACAGAATCTAGTCTACATTGTGAAAAAAAATTAACCAGTAAAAGTCATAAATGTGCAAGTCTGTATTATAAACTTGGTTTGAATGAATAAGGTCTAGAGCGGTTAATTCCTGTCACAAAATGGCAGTCAAATGAAAAGTTCCCTATGAGTTTGCCTTGAATCATGGTTTAAAAATCGCACTTGATATGGCAGCATAGTTACACTGGATCCCACTGCTACTATTGAACTATAATAGATGGGCCGAGAACCATGGAGTCTCAATGGTACATGTACATGGCCAAAGTTAAGGCAATTTAAATCAGCAAGCGTTGTTGAAACAATCAAAACTAGCAACATTTTTAACGAAGATTTCTTCGAGTTAAGTCGCCAAAGCTAATCCGTCTTTCTATGCCGGCATTTTATGTTTTTCTTATTATTGTTTTCAACGTAAAAATCCTTGCCTTTGTATCAATAACACAAAGCAAGATCAGTGTTTCACGTGTTGCGTGGGTACCCCGTGGCCGGTCTACTAGGTTCGTGTGACGTCACTTCAGTCTTAACCACGCCCACTGCACATAGAGCTACAGGGAACCATGGAACCGGAAGTTAAATTAACGTACAACTTGAGTGTGTTCGTTCAATGGGAGTGTGCAACAGTGTGCGTGCGCTCGTACGACAAAACCACGAACTGGGCGTTGCTGCTCCCCGTGTAGTGGAATGAGAAACTGAAGGAATTTCATGTTGATAACAGGTTTTGGATCTTTTTTATAAGTCCTTTATTGATGGCATCCTCACTTTTTGTTTCATTTGGAACTTAGATAACTTGACAAAGGAAAATATCAAAAGATCAGAAAGGCCAGGTAGGATTGCTCAGCGCATTATCCACTGTAATTTACCATCAAGTACTTCATTGTATTAACAGCTGTCTTCCTGAAGCTTTCACAGATCCGGTATACGTCTCTGTGTTTCTATCTGTCACAGGTTGTCTGTGTCTGTGAATAGGTAGCTAATTATCCATGCCTAAGTTAGGCCTAATAAATATTCGCCCTAATTTTACTGTGGTGTGTTTTCCCAGTGGAGTGAACCTCACCATGTAAGGATGGGTAGGCCTATGCGTAATGGTTGAGTGGTTAAGCGTGTACAAGGAATGTGTCTTTTTGTTCAGTGCTATGGTTAGATAGCCATGACATTCTTGGGGTGCAGTCCAGTCAATTGAAATCAAAGCTTGATGGTAGAATCATGATTTTGCAAGACCGTCGAACAAAGTGTAACTTTTCAAACCTGATCCTGTGTGTCAGTGACAGAATTATTGAGTTTGATCAACATCCTTTCACAAGCAGAAACCTGTCCACCATTTCATTCTGATAATGATGCTTCTAACCGTAAGTTATTTTTTTTGTTCAATTTTGTCCCAAAGTTTATCGACTTCCAATTTAATAATGTAGTAACTTTTTCATTTTCTGCATTCAGGTTAAATCATATCTCATAAATGGCACGTAAATATACAAATTTTGAAGTTTGGCATCGTCTCCATGGGCGTTGTGATCAACTCTCTCTGTTCCCTGACCCACGAGAATCTGAGAGGTAGTGTAACTACCGTGTCCTTGTGGCCGGGAAGTACAGAGTGAGGGTCTGCCTGAGCATCAACATCATTTAGAACTGTGCTGAACTTTGACCCCTCAAGAACATTTTGAAGTCATTAATATGCCGTTTGCCATGTTGAAAGATTAAGTATACAAAGCACTAGAAATAAAGATCTCAAATGCTGAATTTCAAGTTGGACTGAGATCAAGGAATTTAGAGAAGAATTTTGGAATTGAATTTTGTGATTTGTGTTTTAGGTCATTGTAGTCAGCAAGCAGTTTGCAGGAGTTTTATATTTCAAATCTTTGGAATTAAATTTTGTGAGAAAGGGAGTGGATTGATCTCTGTGTATCATCATGGAAACTCAGAAATTTTAAGAAGTATTAACGGTTTTGAGGATTTCTAATATTGAACTGAGTTCTAATCGAGAGTGTTTTTAAAGTACATTTTGTAGATTTAAAGACTTTGGAAATTTGTAATTAAAGAAAAAGCCAGTCGGTGTTAAAACTGGAGATTGACAATTTGTACGCTGCGTTGGATTGCATACAAAGGGATATTCTGAATTAATTTCGAGAGTGCCAAATTGAATTTGAATTGCAAGGAAGGGAAAGTGGACACTGTGAAGTATAAAACATAATCTGGACACTGACAACGATGTAAGTCTGAAAATGAATTGAAATCGGAAGCTGTGTTCTGACAATAGTTAACTTAAATCGGAAATTGAATCAAGTGAATTGTATGTTAAATGACAATTCAGGTTACTCTGTGTGAAAATTTCAAAACAAGTTTGAATTCCCAACTCTATAAGAGCAATTAAATTTGGTAAAGTCAAAATTTTGCGGAGGTATAGATAACTGTATGCACAGTTCACCAACAATGGAGCAATCATGCCGTCGCGTCATATGTTTCGGAGGCGATACAGTGTAACTTCATGAAACAATACACAAGAAACCGACCGTCTAACATCCTATTCGGTGGACCCGCGCATGATAGCTTACGACATTTCCCTTACAGTTTCTTGGTTAGTTTGTAAATTTACAAACTAACCAAGAAACTGTAGGGGAAATGTCGTCGTGCGTTGAAAATAGTTGGATTGAAATGGCAGCGTGTGGTATCCCCTAAGCAGTGGCGCACCTGGGGGCCTCGGAGGCTTGACTCCCCAGGTTTTTTCCTTAAAAAGGAAGATACAATATATACCTACATCGGAAACTACTAATTCTGATTTAGCAGTAAATCCAAATCCTTTGTGGCGCGACTGGGGAGGCCTGGACATCATGAGATATTTTTGGGGGACGATTCCAGTCTAAGCTCCGCCCCAACGACAAATCCTGGGTGTGCCACTGTCCCCCCCCGGAAGTTGTGGGCCATTATTTTTCGTGGAGAATCAGCCTAAGATGAGTATTCCCTAAAACTCTGATGTCTGTGGGGCCGAGAAAGAGCATGACATAGCGAGCTGCAAGAAATATATCACTTGACTGCACAAAATACATGCTTGTATTGGAAACTTCGCTACCCAGACTTACCACAGAAGGTGCCGGTGAAGTCCCCTTGGCATAAGCAGTGAAATGTCCGATCACTGGTTCCCCGCTGATCCTGACGGAAGCACAGCGCACCATTACGACAAGGATTAGACGCACACGGGTCATCTACGAAAATTGATACAGTAATGTAAAACGTACACCTTAATTAATTAAAGAAAGGGACATCAGCCATGCAATTAATGCTTTCCTGAGGTAAAAGATACTGCCATAAATCTCCATGACGTGTTCCCCTATGATGTAAAATCTCTGAATAGGCTACGCTTGTATAGATTTCATAATCTAAAGCAATCGCTCATTTGGTTTGTGACCACTATCTTAACGAGTTGACTATTCGCAAGGACAAAAATCAATGGTATTCATTTATAAGTAACAATGAAACTATGGGACGAAATCCGCTGACGGGTGATATTGTGTTTGCGTTTGAGACTCATTTGGTCCGGGTATTTTAAATATAGAGGATGACATAATTGCTTGCCAAGGCACCATTGTGACCCCAGGCATGCCAAATAAAGATATGACATGAAATTTCTCATTCAAGATAAAAACTTCATAATGACGATATCCTGGCGTGTAGCATTATGCATTATATTCCTCTTACCAGGGGTTTCGCATTGCGTTCCCACGTAGTCTGGATTACAGACACACATGTACATCAAGCCCATATCAATACACGTTCCACCGTTGAAGCATGGGTTAGGGCTACAGGCTGAATTTGTTATATCCCCGGAAGCTGTAAAACAAGACAGAAGAACAAAACAGCGAAGAAATTTTCTTCATTTGTAAATGTTTATGGCGGTGCAAACAAACACGAATATATTTCTTGTACCGTGTTGTTAATTCATTTTTTACTTCGTTTCCAGTAGCCTTATTACACGAAAGGTTTACTCTGGGAGATAGGTCGGCTTAATTAGACTTTATGGTAGCAAACTTGGTAAAAAATTCAGAAATTGTAAATTTAAATGTAGCATTAGCCTTCTCTCATGTAAAAAGTGATGCTGATTCCAAAAAAGGCAGTTCCATTGACCCCACTCCCATAGTTTTGAGATATTTGTCATTTTTTCTCCAAAATGTCTTTTTTAAACTAAATTTTATAAAAATTCAGAATTATGAATTCAAACGTTGTGACAATCTTATCCTATGTAAAAATTGGTGCTGAATCCTAAATAACTCTCTCCACTAAAACCATTTCTGAGTCAATTGTCACTTTTCACCAAAAATGTCCATTTTCTCAAATTTGATTTGAAGTTAGAATTAGTAAAACTTATGCGAGTCTTAAAAGTAACCTTATCGACCAACTTGCTTGTACGCAATTTTTATATTTGACATTTCAACCAAAATCTGTCTAAATTTGCATTGAGTTTTTTCTTTTGCTCTCAAACACCCTTTTTAGCATATTTGGCCCAATAATCAATAATCATACCATATGTTCCATTTGTTGTTCTTATAACCCATTATACGGTTCAAGCTTTTCTTTAAGATGATCAAAATGACACAGTCATTTCATAATAGTCCAATAGTCCGAGACTCCGAGTCTGTCAGCATTTGGTCTATTTGCCGATTCAGAATTAAAACTCAGAACTCAGAAACTCAGAATTAACTTCCGTTCCATGTAAACGGCGATCAATGCATGTAACTCTATATCTGCAGCACATGTGCAGTGGGTGTGGTTTAAACTGAAGTAACGTCACACTTACAAACCGGATAGACATTAGACAGGACATCGCGTCCAAAATGCATCCCGCGTATGCGTATTTTCATGAGGGTAAATAACAAGCGTTGCGAATTTTGTTGCCTGCACTTTCAAACGAAGTTTTTCAAAAACTGGTTGAGGTTATTGTACTTCAATTGTCACATTTTGAAGAAAATCTTCATTCTGCACTTGGATTGGATAATTTGGAAAGAATAATGGTTTAGGTATGCACAGAACTGAATTGCTGGAGATCGATGGTAAATCAAGTTTGAAAGAAGGAGAAGCTTTTGACATGTGAGTCGCACTTTTTAGTTTCAGAAAGTTTCGTGTACTTTATGATGCTTGACTTCAAGCCTGTAGTAAGACATTTAAGACAGTCTGTCTAGCCTTTCTAGCTTTGTATATGAGACTTCACTACTTTAAGTTAGGACCGTCTGAAATGTTTCTTATCAGCAAAAGTGGTTTCAAAAACTGAATGATTGATTTGTCATTTATTTCCCCCAGTTTTCACTGGAAAAATCTCCAAGAAAGCCACGATCTGTGTTTGTTGGATCTGCAGACGCATTGAACCCAAATCGTGTGGCAGACTATGTGATATGAGTGATAGAATGAAACCAAAATGAGAAGCAGAGTGCTGACGTTTCTGTTGAATTAAGTAATGTTCTTCCTTCTCTATATACGAGAAGAGGACCATCTCCATCAATAGAATTAAAGAAAACACAACAGATCTTCTCCTTCATCAATTCTGACCACTGAATGAACAGGATACAGCATCACATTACACTCGTAAAGCGCCGCCATCGTTCGGCCGCGCATTTTGTGCACAAACAATGCGCATAGCTCTACTTCAATCTCGACTCCGTGGGCTGCGTGCACGTTCCTTCACTAGCCCTGGTCGTGTAGATGGTGAAAAAACGTTACATTAATCAGATGAAGGGAATTAATTGAGGTGATAAGTAAATTAAGGCCACATTCTTTTTGAAAAAGTTTCAACTCCAGCATTGGTTACTAGGGCTATTCACCTATACTGAATCAACAATGGTGGAATGCATATGTACGCAAACTGTCGCCCAATCCCACTTCAATGGTCGAGTGTTGACCAAGATAATCAAGGGTCTAGGTACGCTGTTTGCAGGAGGCTGCCACGCCCATTGCTAATGGATATAGTCCAACAGGCAAACGTGCAGTGGCGTAGCTAAGATTTCCCTAAGGGGGGGGAGGCATCGACATCTAATGGGGCCAGCTTTTTATGGTGTGTTGAGTCAATGTTTTTGCACAGATATTTTCGCCTCGCTCAGTATTCCTTGACTGGAATTGTATTTACAGGCCAACAACACATCTCAAGGGAGCGAGTGAATATTGCGAACTTTCAAAGTACGATTTAAAAAAAAATATTTTGGTTGTGGAAGGAGCAGGCGTTATCTTATTTTAGGTGGGGGCACCTGGGGGCACCAGGAATTTGCGGGGGTGGCACATGCCTCCCCCCCCGTGGCTTCTCCACTTTGTTCTTACGTGGATGGGGATTTCTAAAAATAGTGTCAACAGATTATGATACATTTGCATAAGCAGCAGACGGTTGTAGGCGATCAACTCGGAAATGTTTGTTTTTCTGCAGCTAGCTCAAGCCACTTTCTGTTAAGATATTTCCTGTGTTTAGAAAAACACTTCATTACATTTTTCTACTCTCGTTTGGATTTGATTGTGGCCATAAGTTCCCTTGTAATGCTACAGTTTTCAACTTCTCATAGTTTTTGACCTCTGAGAAAGATCAGTGCGTCAAAAACATCTTGAATAAAAATTACAAGTTGGACGTGCACAAGACTGAACCACTGACTATAATAAACCAGACACTGCCCTGGTTTTAGATGCGGAAGCTAGAGAAAGTGTATAACGGTGTATTACTTACGGAAGCAGTAACCAGCTGCGGCTAGGGATAAAAACAATGCTAGCTGGGCTTTCATGGCTACGTTGTCTGCTCTGCCTAGTACAACAAAACAAGTTTTGTTAGCGGGTGAATTTCACTTCAATTCAGAAATACCCCAGGCAGTCTACCATTTCCATTAGTCGAATAAATGATCATCCATGTTACCGCGTTACTGGGTGAATTTATTGTCCAATAAATACTGGATAATAGTGATTTCGAAGATAACCTATCCCCAGAATTCAACGATAACACTTTGTGGGAACACCGATTTCAAGAACATATATCTGAAATGCATAATTCAAGTTCTGTTTGTCCGACGCTTTAAGTGAAAAAAATTGTCCCAGTTAATCAAAAACGGCTGCGTATTTTCTATAGTTGAGCAAAAACGATAATCAAGGTCGAATCTTCCGGAGTGAGGTACAATGCAGCATTAACATTTTCACGATAAAGCGAGATAAGTTTTTGTTGTGAGAATTTCCACGTACCTCCAATCAGTTGAAAAACTTTCCAAAGTCTTTCTTATTTCTCAAAATTTCTGAGAAGACGCTGATATTAAACTTAGAGCGGGATGTTAAGGCTGCACACAATGACGAACACTTTGGGATTCGTTCCTCTTCTCTAAATTCCGCCTGGCTTTTTGTGTTTTTACCACTTCGCTGTCCTTGTTAATTCCAAAATACAAGACAAGCAACTAGAAAATGAAGTGAACTTCAGTAAGGACTTGGGTGTATGCAACTATGCTAAACGTCAACGATGTGCCTCATGGAGAAGACTAAACATTTCAAAGATTAAAACATTTCTTGAAATGAATCAGAACATCTGGTCAGTGCTTAAAGGTCATTACAGCAAAAAATATCATTTTTGAGAATACTCTAAGGGCCGTCTGAGCACTGAAGGAAATTTTGTATTAGACTAGATTTGTTTTACTTTTATTTGCTGAACCACGGGGTCAATTTGTTTACATTTCAACAAATTTTCTTGCCCGATTTCATGTTTAAAATAGTAATTTTCAAACAGTCGTTTTAATGCAGTTTTTCAGTAAGGGCCTTTTAGCACTGATGTACCTCGGATTTCATTAAAATCAGAGCCGTCTCAATTAACATTTATTGCATGATAAACCCTGGATAAAGTAAAAATGAAAACTTTCGTACGTTACAAGCTGCGGTAACGTTCCAAGAGTTGTCTTCCAAAGATCCGCTTTCAGAAGCAGTTTTTCGCTCGAGTGTAGACGGGACAGATGCAGAAGCTTCAAGTTAATTCGCACATCTGTGGCGCAAACGACTAACCTTCCCTTATGGCATAATTTTCAATTCTACAACTTACGTAACATTTCTTTACACAGGAGATAGGTTTCACTTTCTGGGTTGGTCCCTGGAATTGTTTTTCTTTTGTTGTTGGAGCCATTACTTGCGTCCGAGGATGACGCAGTGCCTGTTTTTCCCACTAAAATCAAGGACATTTTCTACGCCGAGCCTCCACCCTTAATCGCTGCCGTATGCCAGTCTTCGTTTCTAAAGAAACCAAAGTGTTTCATAAACACGAGTGAATAGAGACGTGCTCCGATGTTCCACTATTGTTCGGAAAACTATGACAACGACGTGCAAATTTTGCAGCTTTCCTAGGCACAAGTAAGACGGAGTTTACTTTGGTCTTTGACAAAAGCCTGCCTGTCTCGCTGGATGTTTACTGTAACCAACAGGCACAAGGAAGATTTTAGAAGATTCTTTTTTCTGCGACTGTCATATGTAGGGACGCACTTAAAGGGTTTGGTAGGGCCATGCAGTTCAAGAGAAGGAATTCAGAATTCTTTAGAAAGCCGACTTACTGATGCTGTTGTAAAGATACATTTTTCAAATCCAGCTGTGTTCATTGCAACTCCCTCCCTGTATACATGAAAGCAGGAACTAGACTCCTGAACAATTTCATATCTCGTCGCAAGCACGTTAAGCTTCTCTAAACAAGTCAATCTCCACAAATACACAAGTAAACTTTCCAGTGGTTTTGCTTACAGAATTGTCACACGTTTCGAGACGTTGAGACGTTGAAACGTTTTGAGACGATGAAAAAGTGACTCAGCAAACAAATGTGCAAGGCGATCTGGGTGGTTGTCAATATTGGTTGTTCAGCTTTACTCCAACTTCAACTATTCGAGATTTATTCCAGTGGTATTGATTCAGTCACACTATTTACACATCTCGAACACGGACGTATATAAAAAAACCTGGACTTGCAACACCTTTGTAATAAAATGAAGCCAACCAGCGGCCATTTTACCGAGCCGAATAAAAAGCGTGGGTTGGCTCCCTTCTATCGACGTCAGGAAGAACAAAGGCGGGCATTGCCAGGAAAGCTTTGTATTCGGCTCGGTAAAATGGCCGCGAGTGGATTCAATGACGTCTATAAGCTGATTAGGGCATTGCGAGTCCAGATTTTATTATACACGTCCGTGATCTCGAAGAACAGGGTCTTTCCAAAATAAACATACCTGTACATGTAAAGTGAAGTTGTTCATATCAGCCCACCACAGATGGTCGTGTGCTAAATAACTTCGATGAAATAAGGTCATCTTTTAAATTCGAAAGTGTTTTGCAATGAGGCCAACATAGTTGGCCAACATAGAACTGTCACGATTAATCTTACTAAAATTTACATGTTGAATCACCACCTGTCTATATTATAGTGGCTGTTTGACTATTTGTTTTCATTTTGTCTCTTTATATCATTTCAGAAGACCGCGGCTCATACTTCAGGCGAGTGTGAAAACGAAGCGGATTTGACGTCACCAAAGAATTGCGGCAGAATTTCACTGGAGATGAAACGTGTTCAACATTAATTTGCAGCGTAAATTTTAATATGACGTCGGAAAAATTTGAGTTCATTCGCGTTTGTGTTTGCTTCACGCGAATATGAATCGGCCTTATAACGCCTTTTCCAAAGTACCGGTACTTTGTAGGGGGGGGTGGGCGAAATAGTATTCATATTTTAGATCGGTTTAATTATGTCATTGACTTTTCAGTCCTGAAGTAGCTTAGAAATATAGTAAAAGAGTGCGGTAAAAATGAGTATAGGGCCTATGCATTACCGATTGGTCGGAATAGCATCTCGTACTACCGTCGTAGTAAAGTAGCGATGGCAGAAACGATTTTGCCAACCAGCTTCATGATAATATGTAGATGTTGGTGGTCACGAAATATGGGTCAGCGCACATGGAATCTCCTTTTTCCGAAAAATAAAAATCCTGAAAATTTCTAAAAAGCCAAGCAACACATTCTCACATTCGATAACCAATCGACTCTATAGTTGTAACAAATTTTCTAATAATAAGAGTCATAATGCATTTGTTTCTTTTGAGAAAGCTGAAAATCTTAAAATTACCAAAAACCCAAATTAACCAACACAGCTCGACCTCCGCCGCATGGAAGACTGTTCACACAAACACATGTCAGTACCTTTACAATAGAATATAAATGACTGCGATGTACACGATGTAGGCTATGCATTCGTTGAATCAACTATGAGAATATGTCTGTGATACAGGTTCTGGCCGTCAATATCATAAGTGAGGAGCTATTTTTAACGCGGGCCACAGAACTTGGTTTTCAATAACGATCGTTCGAATTCACTATATTACGCCCGCACTCCATTTCCGATTGAGCGCTATGTGCAATAATTCGCCCGGGTATTTTATTGGCATGTTGTTGGTCGAATTAGTTATAGGCGACTAACGACCAATGACTTGAATTAAAAGGAATAAACAGTGACGTCGTTGGCACTTTACCGGGGGGACGAACTACTCTTTTTCCAGTGGCAAACTTTCCAGGGGGCAAAGCACTCATCAGTTGTAACAACTGCAGGTAACTGACAGAAGATGGTAAATTTGGATTTTTCTTCAAGCAAATTGGTGATACATGTGGTTATTGCCTTTTATCTATTTCCCCCCTACTTTTTGCCTTCCTCTTTGTGGTTTTCATTTTTCAATTTTTTTAATAAAGTGAGGGGCGCAAGCACCCCCTTGCCTCCCCCGTGACCCCAAAGGGAGGACAGACGGAACATTTTATTTGAAAATGATTTAATAGCTTTAAGGCTCTGAAAAAATAACAGAAAATCTGAAAACAATTCAACGACATTCAATTTCGTGAATGATATAATTTTGTATACAAAGCTTTGGCCCTTGATCTAATTACTAACAGTGAGTTACGTAATTATGCCTGATTTCTTCGGCCTATTCTTTCTTAGTCAATTTTGAATCGCAACAAAAATGACATCCAAATAACCGCTAATTCAAACCATCTTAACAATACATTCTATGACGAAATTGAATGTCGGTAAAACAAAATCGGTAAAATAAATGACAAAAAACGAATTTGCTTTTCCGCTTCAACGCTTTTCTCGGAGTGAGACAAAAATGACGATAAATAGGACGAATGTGTCTTTTTTCGTGATTCACAATGCTCTGAAAGTGAAATCTATAGAAGTGATATTTAGAAACTGTAATCAACATTTAGGCTGAGTAACCACTCTCTGACGAAATTAAACTTTCGTTTAACAAATGCAAGAAGTGTTAAACTAACCGGGAAAACCTATATAAAAATAAATTAAAGGAACTATGCAACTGGTTGAGAACGGCAAAACCACCGTCAACTAGGGTTGCACATTTCCCGTGATGGAAGATCTTTTCTTTCCTACCAAGTTCCAGCTTTAAAGACACAGATACAACTACACGTATAAAATGAGACACGGTATGCTTAGTCTTAACATAACATGATTTATATTGTGACCAAAGTTTTCAAATCTTGTCAAAATATACAAAAACTAGCTTGGTTAATATCTTGAGTAGAAGTGTATAATGGAAAGGCTTTGTAAGGAACTATTGTACAACTAAATGTTAAAGAGTAAATACACTATAACTGAGCATACGTTCGTCCATGTTGCCTCAAAGGCTTGCAGGTAAGTTTAGCAGCCGTTTATCTCCAGTAACAAAGCTCAGAAAGCACAATGGAACACCCAAGGCCACGCAAAAACACTTTCATCACGAAATTTGTACAAGGCTGGCCGCGTCAAAATTCTCCGTATTTAATTTGCACTTCATATCCTTTGTTTAACGTATTTAAATAAAGAGTTAGTACTGTAATTCTAATGTACACAAATTTACATGTGAGAAGAGCCCTCAATATCCCTCTTGTGAATTGTGCGCCGTTATGTATCCCTCAGGTATGTACTTATATATTGCCGTGAAAGGTGATTAACCTGTCTCATTGCGATTAATGTAAATCTAACTGTGTGCCATCTGCAAAATAAAAGCTTTATATTAGTAAAAAAAATGTTCCCTTGCCCTTTTAATATCATAGATAAAACAAGACGTCTAACAAATATCTACCTATGATTACGGATCCGATCTACAACCTTATCTGATCTATTAAAAATATACAGCTTTGCACCCTTCACCAGTATACTACAAAAATAAGTGTTTCTACTGAAGTAATTAATACTTAGGTTTCAACTTGTCAAAAGATGCAAAACAGACCTCTTTTTCAAAATACTAAGGCAAGTGTTTGCACATTTGTTTGGATTGAGAGTAGTTGTGTTATTCAATACTCAAGGATTTGTTACACACAAATATCCAGTCAAGACCATGTCTAATCCCTTGACTCCGGCTTGTGACAATGATCCTTAGGAAAACCATCTCCATTGTTTGGACCATAATAGCATTTAACCAATAGCATTTGGAATACGAAATAAAATCAATCACATTTTGTTAAACTGGGTTTATTTACCCATAAATGTTAAGGATTTGGTTTATTTAAATTTCATTTTTCAATTATTTGCTAGATATTTTGGGGGATAGTAGTAAGTGATCGCATCAACCTTTCAAATATTCATGTTTATAATTTGCATATCACAGATGTTTATCATAGTTTAAATCCGGTGGCCTCCCCTCATTGCTCCACTTTGAGAGGAACCACTCTGGAGAGACCAACAATAGGTAGGATGAGCAGGACTCCACCCACAGAATAGCAGACAGTTGGTCCCAGACTCCAGAACCCTGTACATACAAAAGAAAACCCAAGAGCTACACATTAATACACGAGTATCTTGGAAAATTCCATGTTTTTCCTATTTAAACTCAAACTTTTAAAAATATTATAAAGATTCTCCCAACAGCTACTGCAATTTCTACACTATTTAGGCCAGTAACTCAAGCACCTACAAATGCATCCATACAATGTGTATGCACATGTGTGTGCAAATGCCAAAGCAACCCTGCAGTTAGAGACACCTCTTGCCACTACACTCCTCATTCAAATCAACACCAGAAGCACACTCTCTCCTCTCCTTTCTTCCCTCAATGTCATTCTAGCATCTGCAAGTGCCATCAAAGGTAATGTAAATTGTGCATGAATAAAAGAAACTCATGTAGGACGTGAAGGAAGATATTGCAGCTATATGTTGGACTTCTTTTCACACTGTCTTTAGTTTCTTGTAGGAATTGGGCTAAGGTTGAAAAATTGACTTTTTCTTTGGGAGGAGGAAAAGTATTATTCACCTTAATTCTGGAAGTACTGGGTTACCTTGTTTACAAAGCCAGTTTCTAAAAAATTCTCACAACTGCACAGTAATAACAGAGTATTAAATTCACAAATCAGAGAGAGTTTTCAGGCACAAGAAAAAAGGTGATCTGAGGATTGGCAAGCAGGTATGAAGCATTACTTTAGTATGTATCAAATAGATGCACTCTGATCCAATGGAAGTCAAAGATAGAAACATTGCATAGATCTAATATGCAACAAAAATACGTCCCAAATATTTACCTAAATGCAGCTTAAGTACATGAATTTGGACTGATTCAAGTGCTTGTAAAACACAGCCAATTCATCTACTTAGGGCATGATTTGCTGTAAATGGAAACAACCGGATGATCATCAAGCTCTCAAAAGACACTTCAGAAAAAAAAAACAGCAACATACAATAAAACTAGGTGAAAACAATGCTGCATGTATCTGCATCCAATCATAACCTAGTTTTCAGTCCAAATTCTTGAGGCAATGTACAATGTAAGACAGGAGTATGTATAGGAAACTGCACGTTAAAATGCTTTCTGTCTGGCTTTTTCGGGCTTGAACAGAACATGCCGTTTCAAGGGTGCCTATAAAATGCACATGGCAGTTCTACTCAATGTTTTGTTTTTTGAGAGGTGTATTTCCTGACAGAGAATTTTATCGAGTTACATGAACAAAGTATAGTATACAAACTTCTGAATCTGAACCGTACAGTGGACAAGGCATCCATCAGGAAACATCACACCAACTTTTTAATATTTTTGGTAATGATACCAAGGATTCCACTAAGGCGCCCTAAGCACTGCACTAGCTTGCAAGCCTGAAGACACCTCTATAGAGGGGATGATGAGAAGCAGTTACAGTTTTACAGGTGGAAGGAAAACCCCAGAGGAATACTCTGGGTAAAGCCCATGGAAACAGGTAGGGACTGAAAACCCAATGCACATGTGGACAGGGCCGGGAATCGAACCCAGACCGCAGACGTGGAAGGTGAGGAAAGAACCACTACGCTAACCTGACTCCCTTCAAATGACACAGCAACAGTGGAAACTTTGACAATAATAAAGTGGTATGGTGGGATAAAAACCTGAACAAATAAGGCAATATGTAGTACTCACACATAGACGCTACAACTGGCCCAGATGCTCGTGCTAGTGCCCCTAGTGATCTGAAAATACCCATAATGGTGCCCTTCTGGTCCACTGAACCTGGGCAAAAGCAGTTGTGAAGAAACTACATTTAGTCATTGGTGAGGATTGAAAAAATGTAAGGAAATCATATTTTCAAGGCTTGTTCAAAACACTGACATTCATACATGTATGTGAACGCATCCTGAGGATTTTCACATTATACAATTCACTTCTTTTGATGGTTAGAAAAATTCACTGGCATCTTGGGGTGAGGTACATGTAACTACAGTGAACCTTACACTCTGCACAGTTCCCCTTATTGGTTTCAGTTCACTCACTTGACAATGCACCTTGGTATACTGTCTAACTCTCTCCCTCACAGTAACAGCCATTCATACATGCCCAAATACTAAATTAGTAGAGAGCCTGTCCCATGGGCAATTTTAACAGATGACAGATCTACAAATTGATCTTGGTCCATTGCCATCCCAAAAGGCCCCGTCCAACATAAATATATATGTAGTAGCTGATGATTTCCATTACACATTTAAGCTCTTCGATTTTTTTTCAGATTGAGAGTCACAGCATAAAAATGTAAATTTATTCAAGTCAATATATATCTATAGAATTAAATTAAGAAATGTTTTATTTGGAGTAATGGACCAATGACTGAATGTTGACATGTACATTAAAGTGAAACACTAAGACCCAATATGCAACATAAGACTTCGGAAGAAAGACAATTGAATCCTTACCATATGCAGATACAACAGTAGTCATACAAGACACCACAGTACCTGCAGCTGTAGAACATCACAAACACTGAATTATATACATGTACACAGGTTGTTATGACAGTTGCTGATGTAAACTGTACTCCTCTTGGATGGAGAGGAGGGAAAGTACACTGACAACTTAACATTCAGTCACATGGTCATTAATACACAAAAAAGACTCACTGTCTAGTTATTTAGACCAATATTTTGGTGAGGTATGAGGTGTAGTGGGGTAGGTGTAACATAACAATTTGACTTGGTGTGTAATCAGTTGATTTTGTTCAAATGCCTGATTTTAGGAGTTTGATTTTTAACAACCAGCATTGAAATGGCGCAACAGTTTTTTAAGAAAATGGCCTTTAAGGCTTGTTTTTCCATATTAAAGCAACTCTGACATAAAAAACTAACAAGATTTCAACTCTGGCTGGGGTTTGCTCAAAACTAGCACGTAAGTGCTAATAACTTATTTCCAGAGATGAATAAAAAGTTGAACTGATGGAACACTTCCTGATCTAACACTCTTGTCTGGATAGAAAGCTGAATTTTCTCTATCTCTGGCTGCTCTCCCACTGACTGTGTACATTTCACTTTGGTTACAGTCCTGTCATAAACAGCACTCACAATATGGTGTAAATACAAGATGACACAATAAAAACATGAGATGGTTTCTGTTACAATGCTCTGAATCAGCATGAATGGAATGTCCAAGTCATAGACCAGCTAACAGTGTGTGAGCTTAGTGACAGTCACATGAAAAATTGTGCTTAAATGGAATGCTAAAAATATGAGTACTATAAACCTCAAAATAAAAACATGGAAGTAGAAATTATATATAGCCATAAAGAGAAATCTAACTCGCCAAAATATTTCAGGCAATTTTGACTATTTCATAGTTTCCACGTTGTCAAACTTCACATCATTGTGGAGGGTCACTCATTGGCTTTCAGCCCTTCCATGTTGTTCACATTATTTTAAGTGGTAGGAGCCAGGGTACCATGCATGCAATGCCTCGTGTCCACCACACTGTGCATACAATGCAACTCAAACTATTCAACATCATGAGGGAAAGTGGACTTTGCCAATTACCAACTAACATAACTGTTTATTTGTCCACACAACCTCATACCAACATACATGTACAGTAAATATCTACATCACTTTAGATGGTGTATCAGTCCATGTGTTAGTCTGTTAATGACTACATGTACAGAGCCTTAAACATGTATGTTGTAGGTGCATGGTGCATATTGTAAACAGTGCATATAACTTAGAGCATTGGTTTCAGCGCTGCATAAATATAGCATTGTTTAGTCCTTCTGTTAATAGGAATCAACTGTAGCTTAAAATGAGTGGCAGAAATCAAGCCCTTATTTTCAGGACACAGGTGTGGTAATATTGTTAAAATTTAATTTGAACATGTGGAGGTCTAGGGAATACATACCAAAAGAAAACAATGCTAGGCCAGCATAGAACGGCACTGATGTCTGTATGCAGCCAATGATGATGAAAGATGGTATCAGAACCAAAATCCCCTGAAATAAGGTAAAGTTAGATTAAAACTCTTAAATGATCATAAAAGATCTAAAAGAAATTTACATCTTGATGGCAGTGTGCACCTTCCCCGGCAGAAATACTCATAATGAATTCATAATGAACTAGAATTCCCACTTTTAATACTTTTTGTAATAAGGACCAAAATTCTTAACATTGAAAAATTCACTTTGCGCGCACACTTTGAGTCTCTCAGAGTTTAGGCAAGTTTTGGTGATGATCAACTCACAAATAAGATCAGGATTAGGTAATTGTTGCTAAAATTTTCCAATTTCAAAATAAAGGAGTCCTGATTAGCATCTCAACATCTCCTGGGCTGTTGAAACTATCAGACTTATGCAAGGAATGGTGGAGTCTGGTTGTCTGTTACAAAATTCAAATTGAGTTATGTTTATTAATGGGTACAATTCATGTTAAGATTTAAGACACTCAATGAACTGTGTGTCCATAAGACACCAACTTAACACAATCCAATACTTTTATTTCACTTACAATAATTGCTATCCGTTTCTCCTTGCCAGGGCTTATTCGACGCACATAGCCACCTGTCCCAAAAAGAAATGGTAACAGAAATGTATCACTCTTGGGGAAGGTCATTCCTCCAAATAAAAACACACACAAGTGTATGCATCTTTTTCAAACAGAATGCAGAAGAATCAAGATGTGTGGGCTACGGCATTGTGAAACTCATGACGCAGTCATTTTGAACGAAAAGCACCATTGGGTCAGAATATTTGCCTTATACATATAAGTGCTTGCAATAAATTCAGTGGCAGGCATATGACTTCAGTAACTTGTAATAAACAGGCCGTAAACGGGCACACCATCAGAATGCATCCAACTGGTCTCTAAAATTCATCCTCTACCAACTGAAATTATTTGGAAAAGATCAGTTACAAGGAAATATAACTGGTAGCACAATTATGACCTCCAAATTGTGGTTTTTCTGCGACAACCAAGGGAACAAATTATCAGTGTCTAAAATGAGACCAAAATATGAACCGTTGGAGCATTAATCATAAATCTAGGCACATACATGTAAGTTCCTTTCAAATACTTTGATAAACATCTGCCTGGGTTCCGGCTCTGCTGTATGTGCAGCAGGTACTGCCTGTAAACGTCAGCTGGCCAACTAGCCTTTGACACAAGACTTCTCATTTTAAAATTATCTTTGGTGCAAGTCTACGGAGACTTTCTTTATTTTCAGTATTTTCATGGTAGATTGCCCTTTAAGCAAAAAAGAACTCATCGCCTTATTGGAATGAGCCTTTAAAATAAAGAAATGTAACAGCACAGAATGATTGAAGGTCACTTGATGTTTGATATTTGAACTCTAAAAACTCACCCTGCACTAGAGCCATGACAGCACCAATGAAGACAAACATCTTACCCTGCTGCATACTGACAATCACAAAAACAAAAACAAATTTGACTGTATTTGACTGTATAATGACTACCTCTTTTTGAATGTGCTTAAAAGAAACCTTTTTTTACATACATCGTATACAGTGGATGAAGTTTAATAATTTTGTCGGCTTGCTTCAATCACTTTCCTGACAATTTGGAAAAAAGCTTCTTTCCCATACTTATGCTTTTTTTCAAGATAAGTCACGTGAAAGGCATTTTATCAACTTTATTTAAATAAAAAAACTCAGAAAACCTTGATCTTTGTGTGTACTAAAATTAACACACATACAATTGAGTTCCTTGGATCTGAAATGCCTAAACTCTGAATTGCAATACGTTTAACTTTATAAAGGATTTGGGCACTCCCAGAATATTACATCAGTCCGACAACTGTGTCCTCATACCTTGTGTATTGAAATCTTTGGTGAACCAGGAATGTGAGAGTGAACTCTAACCCTGAAAATATGAAGAGATACATGAAGTAGCATAGACCAAGCAGACGAAGCATCCGCAGTTCTGGAAAAAAGAAAAATACAATCAAAAATTTGAGGAATGTACATGAATGTTGATAAGTATCATTCTTTTTGGGTGAATGACATACACATAAAAAAACCCAAAAAAGAAACAAACAAAAGTCAAGACTAGATCCAGTATCACCAAGATGTAGATTATGGGGACCTTTCCTTGTATGGTAGGTCTTTGTCTTAATCTCACAGGCCTGTGCCAGGTGTCTGGGTACCCGCCCATCGATATCAAAACCCAGTTCCATTATTTGGGCCGGGTACCTCTAAAAAAATATGAAGAAATTGAAAACAAAAATAACATGTAAATGAATTGGGAACAAAAATCCATGAATAAAAATGTCTATGAAATTTAATACTGAAAGGCAGAATGACTACAAAATCACTGTGCTTAGATTTTGAAAATAATTTTGAGGTATCTCCAAACACAAGGTTGACTACTGACCATATTTTCCGTGGAATTTAAGGATTTTTGTAGCTGTAATCTTACTGAATAATTTTTGCATTGCAGATCTACATGTAGGAAAATGACTGTACCAAACCTGTGAACAAGAGGCCGAAGAAATTTTGTCTTTTCAGGCGGCCGCGCTGTTGATGTACACTTGCATGACTTTACCAGAGGCATGGCTGGAGGGGGTTCCCCCCACGAAAAATCATTGACCCCCACTGGCATATCCTGATGTGATCACGATTATGTACATGGTTATGTCCAACATCCAGTCAGCCCCCCCCACTTTAGCGTGAACCCCCCCTCCTTCACAGAATCCTGGCTACGCCACTGGACTGTACATGCAACTTACAAACCCTGTCGGCCTATGATGACTTTTGTGCTGAAGTAGTAGTGCTTACTGTTTTGAGTTAAGGGTATTTTTGTTAATAAAACAATACCAAGGAAAATTACTTTCTGTCGGGATCGACAATGGAGCAAGAGCAGACCTGCGTAATATACCAGCGGTACTGAGACTTCACGTGTGCAGTAAGTAGCAATCACGCACAAATTGTGCAGTTGATCAGCCTTCCATTATCAGATGGCAACCAAAGCAAAACATAAACCAAAGAGTCAGAGAACCTGTTTAGTTTTTGATATCAAGAAATGTGCCGAGTCGTTCTCACATTTAGTTTCAAATTTACTTTTAAATGAAAGAAAAAATAAATTTTCTCAGTGATTCAGCAGAATGGTGGACGATGAATCGAACCAAAAAGCAGGACGGATGTTGTGTACAAAAGCATTTCAGATCTAAGTGTTTCTTTTGTTCGAAAAAAGGAAAATGTTAACCGGTCATAATACAGTCGACGAAGTACTTACACAGTAACATCTCTACAACTCGAACTTCAGGGAATGGAGTTATCCTAAACATCTTTTTTCTATTTCAATAAACCCCTTTATCGTAGTGCCTTCGTGTGGCAAAACTTTCATATTGCTTAGACTTATTTACAGTGTGAAGCACTGCACATACCCTAGTCCTGTTTTTCACTTGGGTTTTGCTATGTGTGGTCACATGACCTTTCCTTTTGCTGTTATATGGCCGCTGAAGTGTCAGCGATTGGATTGCCTGAAGGGGACTGCAATTGGGCCCCGCGACAGCAATCAGGTTAGCTTCAGTAGCTTGAAAGCCAGGATTTGTTGCAGTTTCACGTAATGATGGTTTAGGCAGCATGCATACATCTGGTCACAATGAGAAAAAAAATGTGCTTGGCAGTGGTAATGACTCTAGACCCTTGACTTGTGTATGATACTTAAAATGCCATTTGAAGCATTTGGGTGGCGTTATTATTCAGAAACGTCAAAATAAGCAGATATAGTGATGTAGGCAAGTTACGGAGGTATTTTTGTACATACAAGCCATTTAAACACATAACATATGAAGCACTGTTCAGGTCCGTACGTGACACAACGGAGCATTCATCATTTGTACACATACATTCCATGTGTACATAGACATGCGACATTCGGGACATTTCCTTTGCACGGTAGCTGGGGCATAAGTGGCTTGCAGATCTGTCGTCTATTCGTCAAAAACTTGTTTTCCTGTTTATTTACAAAAAAGATTTTGCAAATTGAAGGTAACAATTTTGTTTGATAAAAAGGTAGGAGAGATTTACCCTGACGTTTAGAACAATGTGCTGCTTGCTTCCTATGTATGAAAAAGAGCCAATGTTTCGGGCACAAGGTCCGCTGGGCAATGCCATTTGTTTAAAGTGTTCTCTTTTAACGGTAACTGGTTACCCGATGTTGACAAAAAAAGGGCACCTGGTTCTAAAAATACCTATAAATGCACACCCCTATAGTCTCAGGTATACCCAGTAGAAACAAAACTCGGAGATCATCTCACACAGTTGTCTCTGAGCCAACAGCCAACTCCTCCAACTTCACTGCATGTAAGACAACTGTTCTGAGCAAGCAGCAATGAACAGGCACTGCCAATATCTCCAGCAGGCAGTGAATCTAAGAGTCTTCAAGACAACTCGTCAATCCAACAAACTAGGCCAAGGGAGTCAAGTCCACTCTGTCCAGACAAAAGCACACAACATCCTTGAACCCTGCTGAGACCAGTCTATCCACATCCCAACAGAGTGAACTACACAGAAAGTGAACCCATCATCATGAAAAAGACAAACTACAACAGTGTCAAACATGTCAAACTTTGCACTGATTTTGCATTTACACCTTTTCAAAATTATGAATTTTATTTCCTGAGTATAGTAAACAGGGAGTATCCCCAATGCAGCATTCTTGTGCAAATGTGTTCAACTTTAATCCATTCTTCAGCATTGCCTGGCACTTGGCTCCAGTTCAGAATAATCTGATGTTAATCTGTAATAAATCTGTATCTCATGCCATCCAGCTCCACTTGCCCTACATTCTTTGGCAAAAGCAAACTTACCGGTATTTCCAACACTACCAGTGTAACACATATTATCAAAACTTGTGTGACCCTCAGTAGGGTAGTATCCTGGACTGAAAAGTCCAATGAGCGGGTCAACCACTTTCTGAACCTCACTCTTCACCCCACTGATCAGTTTTGATGTCAAAATCTTTATTTACCAACGTTTGCACAGATGGAGCATGTCTCACTGCCATTCATCCATCCCTCCATCCATCATGACCTCACTCTCTCTGTGAGTACACAAACCTTTCATCTGCAATGGATCCCTGTTCTGACCCACATCACCCGTGCTTCATCCTCAAGGATAAATTCTAGGAGCAATACCTGTGGTGTGTATGGCATCTGCTTAGCCGTAGTGCTGGCTAATTTGTTCACATCTTTCTCCAGATCACCAAACCTTCTACACATTCCTCATCTGGCATATTGGCCATATAGTTCAAAAGACTTAATCCTACAGCAGGGGAGTGAACCTGTTCAGATTTCAAATAGCTTGTTTTCTATTGAAAACACCATGGAGTGCTTCAGGTATTACATCCAATTATATAAGAAGTTACCAAGCAGAGAAGTTACCACCTTAATTCTTGGGACAAGATTTATGAATGCAAGGGGCAACTGTTTCAGCACACATGTACAGAAAATCTCAATACTTGAAGTGTTTCAAATAGTCCATTGGTAACAAAGCCTATTCCTCTGGAAGGCAATAAACCTTTTTCTTTATGTGCATTTGCTAACAGTCAATGTTCCTTTCAAGCTAAACAAGATTAACTTGGATCATGGCATTAGAAAAGCAGTGTTTCCAAAGTCACACTTGAGGGATAACTTGAGCTTAGGAAAATGCACCTCCGTACATTCTGACCCTTAAAAAAGATTCTGTAAAAAGTTCATTACCAGATACTTTCAATTTCTTGACAGCCGAGAAGAGAAACAGGGAGAGTGGACTGATGAGATCACATGCATCCTTGAAGCTACTGCCAAATGACTTCGCCTGCACAATAAGTCAGACAAATCATTCTAATTCAATCATACCTTCAGTGATTCCAAATGAAAATCAATTACGGAGTCAATAATGAACACTAACCATAATTCCAAACCTTCTAATCTCACGTAAGTTTCAACAGAAATTTACAAGAACAGATGACAACATGACAAAAATATAAAGTGCCATTTATTTTGTGTCCAACTTACTCGTTTGTGCATTGGTAGTGTCTCTTTGAAAAGCAAGAAGATGAAGACAATGTCAGCCACAGCTAGTATGATTGCAAACAAGGCTGGCTTGACGTACAAGGCCTCTCCCTTACCACCTGCTGACATAGCAAAATAGGCTCCAATCATGGGCCCCATGATAAAGCCCAAGGAGAAGGCAATTCCTATGAGTGCCTAGAGGAGAAAGAGAAATGACAAGGATATGAGAGTAGGGAAAGCATTTGGTATTCAGCTGACAGATTCCTTATACATGTATCTACCAGTATCCAACTTTATTAATAATATGAAATAGATGGACACCCTCTTTGCAAAAAGCAACACATCAATCGTTGGAGAACTGAAAAAATGGTACAAGTATAAATAAGTTAATTCACCTGTTATGGATTACTCTGATATTCTGTCAGTCAGCAGGTTGGTCGGTTCATGTATGGCTTGAAATTAGTATGCCCTGACATTTCATGTTTTTTGTTAATGCTGTAGAGGAAATCTGCACTGCTACGGAATCACTACTGGCACTTCCTTAACAACAGCTATCCTTCCAAACTTGATTTGAAACCAAAATAGTCAATGCAAATGTTGGTAACATGAACAAAGTAGTGACCTCACAATAAATAAGTACATAAAATATAATCCACGGCAGAATTTCCAAACAAAACATATTACTGGTAACATGATACGATACCAATAACTATAAAGTTTTGTTATGAATAGATGTATTTCATTGAATTCATGCTGATACATACCTCTACTGTCTGGCTTCCAATAAAAATGTTCTGCTGATGACTGTATTATCTTCAATAATTTTTTTAATCAACTATGAAATGTACTGCATGCACATAGCAATCCAATGATGTAGCAACAGTGTTTCAGTGTAAATCTCTAAACAGCAGAAAGTGCTGCAAATGAATCATCTACACATGTAAATAATGTAAAGCATGTTAATGTACATGTAAATCCTATTGTGTACAGTGTTATGAACATTACTGCTTTCAAACATACGTGTATAACCATGAAAGTTTCATCAACATCTGTACTAGTTGCCGATCTATGCCCTGCATACCGGTACATGTAACCACTGAGGCTGGGTTCATTTGTATTCTTGTTGACCTACCATTCCTTTGCCTCTGGTACTGGCTGTGGACACATCAGTCACAATGGTTGTGCTCAGGCTGACGTTACCTTTACTGATGCCTCCAATGACACGTGCAATGACGAATAACGTAAAGTTGTGTGAGACAGCCCATACGCAGTAGGAAATTGCTATGCCTGTCTGCATAATGACAGAAAAATATGCCAACATATGACAGACCCAAAGTACTTCTGATTCACAAAGGTCACACTCATGATAAAGCACAAAGGTCACACTCATGATAAAGCACAAAGGTCACACTCATGATAAAGCACAAAAATCAATTCACATGCAGCCTTATAAATCTTCCTCAGGTTCAGACAGTTCACCCATTCCTATTGATCCAGAGCCCATCATGTGGGTAGTTTTTAAGTCTGAATGCCACATGATCACAACAGTTTGTAGATACTTGGCAAATGGTGGTGTGTAAATTGGCTGTGAGCTACATGTTAATGTACAGTGAATAATAAACCTCCCCAAAATTTGCATTATGTGCACTGTCCATCATACTTCGTTGTATTTGCAACCGACAAGCTTTGGTTTGGAAATGTACAATTCAGAAGTGCACAGATACAGGTACATGTACAAGACTTTGGAATATTTGGTTTCTCCCAACACTTTTGGTAGTTCAGTAGTTAAACACAGGTTCTGCATTTCACTGTTTGTTATAACACTGTTCCACTGTAAAAACGGGCAAAAAAAGGGGAGGGCAATTTAGTAAGTGTCAGCCACTCTTTTGTGGCAATAAACACGCAAGCTCTTAATATCATACCATTGTCACCAACATCAGAGGTCTTCTACCATATACATCTGATGCAGCACCAATGACAGGACTGGCTACAAACTGCAGGAACGAGAATAATGACCCAATCACACCTGTAAAAAACAGAAACGCAAAACAAGAGATACATGTAATATCTCACTAGTGCTGGCAATATTGATTTTTTTTTTCAAATTCAATTTTTTTTTCTGAGCAATAACACCAACAACATGATAAATTGTTTGCAAACTGTGCTGGGTTTAAGAACTCCCAGATATTGTACATACAAGTGTTGTAATGCACAGCCTGCAAACAATAACGTTTCACTACCTACTGCATGTAGCTGACAGAGATTGTTTGGTTCATGCTTAACCTGATAAAAAAAGAACCTGATAACAATATCTGCAAATATTTCCTTGAAAATCAGTCACCACTGAACACCTGCAGCATGAGCACTGCAAACCATGTGGAAACAGTTCATTAACAGGAAACACTGTGGAAACAAGCTTGAATTTTTAATTGGTGATGTACCGGTATATATGCCAGTAGTTGGGGCAAAAGGATGTCATACACCCGGTTTCAAAGAAAACTCAGGCTGAGGATGAAAATTGCCAACATACCGGTAAAATGCGGACATAAAAATGATGTTGAGGAAGTCACAATATTTTAACAATATTTCTACTTCTACATGTACATGTAAAATATTGGTGATTTCAATTTTTGGGTTAATATCATAAATATTGTCACAATGCTATCATCATATTTGGCGGTTATACATGTACATCTACTGGTACTGTACATGTACATCCCATGTGTAACCTGTTAATCCTGGTTGCACTATGGATCATCTATGCCAAAAATCTTGGTTTTCTACGTCTTAACTTGATTGAGCAAAATGCAAAATGTAATTAATACATATTGTCATGCGTCACATACTGTAGCATGCCTTTTACTAATGCTTGATTTACTAATCTGCCTCATATGAGAACAAGAGATGCTACAGGTACGTTTTACACAGCATTGATGTTCCTGAAGTGAAGCTCACCATGTGTTTCAACACGGAAAAAACATTTAACACTCGTAAATTTCCTTTCAGCAGCAGTTAAAGATGGATGGAACAAAATTTACAAATGTACTTACATGTAAAGGCAAGACTGTTTTGCCATCAAAATGGACATTGTGTTTTTCTTTAAAAATAGAAATTGCTCTTTTGTTTCAATAAAGTTACATGTATGTGCGTGTATGTATATTAACATGTACATAAACGGTACACATACCAGGGCTCTAAGAATCGGTAGTCCGACGTCCCGGGACAACCAAAATATTTTGTCAGGCAACCAAATGTTCCAGGCTGCCAGCCCGATGGGCAAGCACCTGTTTTCAGCAACACGTTTTTTTGTCCGGCGTTTTGGACATTTCAGCACCATGCACAGAAAAAAGATTGCAAAAAAAGACCCAAAAAAAATCAACATCCTAACCTTGATGTTGCACGACTGTACATGTTCGGGTAGGTGCACCGTGGTACGTATGGTCGAATTGTTGGCATGAACAACGCAGCCGTGTCTGTATTCAGTCGATTTCCTTGTTCCAGATTGCTAAAACTATATTCAGTCCCATTACAGCTCAATTATCATCAAATTCCAATGAAATGGGGTCAGGAGTCTACCTTGTAAATGTATATTTTCAAATTTTGAGCTTTTGATTTTTCTTACAAGATCGACAAATGTGACGAGGACACTCTTCCTAGTTCTGGATCGGTTTATACAGTTCTGGATCGCTACACATAAAAAGGAGTCAAGCGTAAGCCCATTTCTCTGCCCAAACCATTGTAACAAGCATATTTTCTAGTAAAGCAAGTCTTATTTTAAAGGGGATTTGTTTACATATTAAAATTTCAGTGCATCAACATGGATGGCCTTCATAAATGTTGACTTGACTTTGCTGCTCATCGAGCCGTCGACCAAAAATCCTCCCACACCGCAGTTATGGATCCCAAGTGGAGCCATGTTGAAAAACCCATTACGTCACGTACAAATCTGTTGCGCACGTGTACATGTAGTTGAGTTCATGACGTTCGTACATGTAGGCCTATTTGCATGCGCGATCCGAAACTAGGAGAAACATTCATGAAATCTTGCGTAGTGAGTGACCTAATGACGTGTAATTTTTCTGGTGTTGACTTTTTGTGCTCCCATGTTTTTTGACAAACAGGAGACTTTTGTGTTACCTTTCAAAAAAGAAAGTCGTCTTAGCGTGTAATGCTGCAGAGCAATAGCAAAAAGGTGGGTAGGCCAAGGCCTATTCATTTCAAGCGATAGGGAACTAGGAAAATGGCTGTAATTACTGAAAGCTTGGAGACCATGTGTGGCTAAAACTTCCTTGTTGGGCAACTGAAAATGAAGTTTGGGCTACCAGATTTTAGACTCCCCTGCCCGAAGGGCAACTACATTTTTAAAAATTTCGTGAGCCCTGCATAGCCTACATGTACATACCGGTACAGCTGATGCATATGAAGGATAGGCTGTGGAATGTTCAAGGCATGGTTAACATGTAAAAGCACCATGGACAGAGGATGAATGCAGTGCTAACTGGCCCCCATGCTGTGTTCTGTGCTGTTCTTTATTACTGTGTTCTTCATTATACATGTATGTACATGTACCGTATATGTAGCCTTCTTTTGGGGGAAATATGGACTGAATTCTTACCCCCAAACAGTACAGAATTATATTTCTGAGTGTCAGGAATTCCAAGGAGCTCCCTGAAGCTGTCGATTTTGGACTGCAGTTCTGGCAGAAGACCACCCTGTAATGAAAACAATTATAAAAAAGGATAATACAGTAAGCTAGTTAAAGAATACGTACATGTACACATATGTAAGTAGATAATTAATACAAAACCTTGAGATAAACAGAAATACATTTGTGTGCATGTATTTGGGTCAAACCTGCAACATCGTGTCCATGACGCTTTTTGTTGACGAAAATCCCTTTCACCATTCCGTTCGGAAACAGCCACTATATTTGGATCATGCCATTACATGTATGTTCTACAGGTGATTTTGAATTCGCAAAGTTTTTGCATTAAGAAGATCCTTTCCTTAAATAAAATTTAACTTCACACTGATCCAATTTATTTTCTGCTTTGCACCTTACACTCAGCTTCCTGTAATTTCAGCTTACAATGTGAATTTCTGTTGGTATATTTGTAGCAGCTTATTAGCTTTATTTGTTCATTGATGGAGACTCCCACAGCATCTGCAAACACTACACACAAGAAAATTGGCGTCTGTTGAAGAATGTGATGTGCGAAGTGAAATAAACTCTTATACGATGGTCGGTTGACCATCGTAAAAGAGAGAACAAAATTTCTGTTTTCTCAAAAACTAATGCATTCTGGGCGGAAAAATTTACAGACTTATTGAGGCCTTATTGAGGCTTTCTTTCGAAAAACATACTCAAATTTGGGGGATTTTACCAATGCTGTACACTACCTTTAAGGTTGTTGGTTGAGACACAAACTTCAAAAACTCTGAACACCATTGGTCTTAATGTCAATTTGTGCTAAGGGCTGCTGTTACAACAACTGTGATTGCTACCAATAAGTTTCAGTTACAGTTTAATAAGTAAGCCAGTAAGCATCTCCATTAACACTTGCACAAGGCTGGGACAGAGCCCATAGGACATCCATCATGACTAAAGCAAGAGTGAACCAACCTGATCATGTTGAGCATAGTAATCCAGCAAGGATGGCAGAAGAGGTAGAATCATGGTGAATGCAAGTAGGTCAATCAACAGGCTTAGGAACACAATAGAAATCATCCGGTGGTTGTCACTATCATCCCGCCTCTTCTGTACATCCAACTGCCTGGGAGTAAACTTGCAGCTGGTGTCATTACTCTGGTAGTTGCCATTGGCATTGTGCAGGTGGGCATTCTTTTCCTGCATTGTACTGTGTCAACTCCGCGTAGGGTTGATAGTAATACTTCAAATCTGCAATTGGTTCGATACCGGTAAAGATGGGGTGCAAAAACGTTACTGTAAATGTCCATACTGGTCTGTTATGTTGATGTGAACTGAAGATTTTTATTTCACAAACATTCTTGTGAGAATTCAATGGAAAAATCATTTCAAGACACATCACTGAAGCAGAATGAAAGGTGTGTGATACAGTGTTCTGGTAAATACTACCCTTTTGAAAATACCGTACCGGAATAAGAATCTTGAAAATCAAAACATTTTAAATTTCAGTAATTTTTTGACATTGGAATATTTTGTAAACAATGGATTCTGTACTATCATCACTAGAATTCAGAAACACATTCTGTAAATACTGGCTACAATACATGTACATGACATGCATTCAGGCGATGGACGACGGAAAGGCCACGGCATATATACAGAACTGGAAAATGGCAGAATTGGGACACAACAAAAAGCAAGAGGCGACGGACGACAGGCAATGGACAACAGCAGATATGAAATTCCATAGCATCCAATGCACTGGTTGCCTGGCTACAAGAAATGACGGATAACAGTGGTATTTCCCATAGACATGTGCCGCGTCCACTGCTTTGTAAAATGTGTGTAATCTTGAGTATGCCTGGGGATGGATAGCCACACTGATACGTGTTAGTTATTGTCAGACATTGAAGCATTGTGTGCATTCGCATGTGCTGCTCCCTTCATGCTGACCATGACGGAGGCCCAAGGGTTATGAAACTTCTGTTTATGCACCCAGCTGTGCTCATGGAACACAGGTATGCTCTGATTACTGTTTCTGCTGCGATCGCCATTGTTGCTTATAATATAAAATGCTCAGGCCATGGTCTCTTCTCATCTGCTCTTCAATCTTGTCAGTACTTTTCAGTCCCCCGCTGCAAGATGGGCTATGGTAAAATAACCAAGCTCTTTAAGGGTTTAACTAAAAACGGCTTTTAAGCAAATAAGATTTAAAAAACTGAAAACATGTGAACAAGTTTGGCTTATGACCAATTGTTTTTCCATTCTTTAATTTAAAGATTACAAAAAATGCCTGTCCATGTCACAAATGTTACTGTTTGTATATTTAATTGAACAATCTTTCAATTAATTAATGTTTATCTGTACTTGACTTGTCTTTCCATAATTTTGAAATTATCCAAAATTAAAAAAAGAGTCTTCCCCCAGATGTACATTGTACATTAACTCCCTGGGGTGTGTACAAAATTTGAGGATTCAGAATTTCAGGGCTGTTACAGTTTAGCTACATGGATTTTGAATTATATTTTCAAATTTAAGACACAAAATGTCCGTCCCAGTGAAAAACATGATGTTCATGGTGTCTTCGCAATTCCTCCCTGGAATTTAAGAAAGATGACAGTTTCTTCATTTTCTTTGAGAGTTCAATGAAAATTAGCGTGGTAGGTCCTCAGTTACACAAAAGCAAACATTATCTAGGTTTGTTCAACTACCGGTGCAGTACATGTACAGTAGTTTACAATTATACAGTAACGCAATACTACATGTACAGTATGTAGGCCTACATGTCTTCTAAGATGAAACCTCCATAACTTCATAAATAGCGATGGGTTATCATAACCTTTCGGATGTACACGTACAGTGTACATGTAACAAGCAGAAACAGGGAAGGTGTACGCAAACAAAATGTTATGCAAGGACTTTAGAAATTAGCCTGTATGCCACACAGGAAGTACATGTACATGTTTGTACATGTACAGTACGCTTCTACTGGTACATGTACACTGTTACCTTAATTGAAATGCAAATTGGAAACTGCCAACTGCAGTGCATGGGAAATCAAGTACTGTACTTGAAATACATGTGTATTAATTACAACTCACATGTACTGGTACCAGCAGCAAAAATTGGTTCTGTTGCAGCGCAGTGCACAAAAGAAATACATGTACATGTATATGGTAATCATTTTCTCTCTCTTACGCTTTGCTTGAATAGTTGGATGCCTTCTTCTGTTCTGTCTTTGTATTGTTTTATGGTAAGGATTTGCGGATACACCATGAGATCTACATGTACATGTATGTACATATCTCTTCAAGAAGAGGTAAGGTTCTGAAGAGAACCAGTGATGAGATAGATCCCATGAATCCTTACCATACACATACATGTAAATGTATGTAGTACTTGCACCATGCTAAGTTTCAAATCTTATTCCTATTGTTTTGTTTGGAGTAGACTTAACTTGATCACAAAAGGATCTTGTAGTCTTCATACATGTCCATCTATGTGTGATGGCAGAGTAAGTTGGCATAACCAATATAACCGAAACTTATCTACAGCGATTTAAACATGTCCGTCTTTAAGGTTTGGAAAAACCTTATTACAGTTCCAGAAATACGCATACACACAAACTTAGGGTACATTGTTCATGTAGGCTGCCTACTCTATTCCATAATACTTGAGTTAGAGATGGTCAGAAACAGAAGTCTTGCCCTAACTGCCAAAGTTTTTTTACATAATTTGCACGACTTTTACAAAAACACCAACATGACAGACAATTACATACCGATATCGGTACATACGTGTACCCATCCACAAATTTGTCAAAAAATAACATACATTTTCATAGGCGCGGCCTATGTGTAGTTTTGTGCACATAGGCCTATTTTAAAGCATTCATTTTTTTTGGCATTAAAAAAATTCGGAAAATCGGGTGAAAATAAAAATTTCATCAGAACTTTGAAGCTGTACATAATATTGTGATTTCTGAATAAGAAATTCCATTAATTGTGGAATTTAAGGTAAAAATATTGCTCCATAAAGACACGAGAGGCGAAAAATAAAGAGCCCCAAATTAGGGGCCGCGCCACGTTACGATGATAGTACATGTACATGTATAACCACAGAGCTACTAACCCAAGGCCCAAAATTTATTGCTAACGCGTGAGGCCTACATTATCCACTCGATCTTTTATCTAATTCAAAACGCGCAGCCCTGTTTTCTGTACTTTCTACTCACATGCTTCACATGAGGGGAAGACTTACCACAAATATCTAGCCGACCAACTGACCAATAACTTAAAAATCAGTTTTTCGATGCTGCAATTTCAAATGCCCTTGCACTCGTCAAACACGATCAGTATTTTGGCGAAGCATCCTGCACCAGTTTCCGCATTGTAGCATGGAGTGCCAAAGGTCAACTAACACTTGGTATTATTGCGTCCGTGTCAATTGCATGTAATTGGCTGCGGCTGGAAATTACACTAGACTCTATGGGAAATAGCTGCAGCCATAGCCATAAAGTGCTTTATGGTTCAAGCTAGCTCAGTACAGCCAAAAATTCGGACTCGGGGTTTTCCGATTCCGTTAGGAACTACATGTATATAAAACTAATTGTTCTAGGAAAATTTCTAGAAAATAATTTTTGGTCAGATTTCCGATTCGCACTTCGACATTTTTGAAACAGTTTATCAAAAATCATTTCGTTGACTGTGCAGCAAGGGGGAGAGTATCGTTGATAGCTCGCTGTAGTACAGCGGAAGGAGCCGAGTCGAAATTTAAGCAAGATCCACTTTTAATTCATTGAAATTCTTATTTATTAAATGATTTTCTCTAAATTCAGAAAATCTTCATTACAAAATCAGCTGTTTACAATAGTTCTTGCGTGGTTACTTTTTATTCGTGAAAAGGTTTAGTCGCGATTCGGAACTGGGTAAACCGGTCCAGAACTAGCTAGGGTAAGTGTCCGTCCGTCACTTTCGTCGATCCTGTACGTCCAAATTAAAAACTTGCAATTTGAAAATATTTTATTAAGTATCTCAACACACAAGGTGTACATCTTACCACATTTCACCGGGATTTCATTGAACATTGTGAACGACCTGTGACTGCAAGGTTATCACTTCCTGTTAGCGAAGCTTTGTTTAATTTTTTGTTTTGGGGGTTTTGTTTGTTTTGTTATTTGTTTTCCAATGGCAATGCTTTGACACTGGCAAAGTGTTGGCTATAAACATGGCTTGGTTCAATCACAGCTTCTCACTAAGTATCAGTGATCACATCCCTCTGGGCGACATTCAAATCATTGGTTATTTTGATCAATTTGTGGATGAACTAATAAAGTGTAGTTAGAATATTTTCATCAATGAGGAAGAAAACTAAAAGTATCGAATGATAACCGCCGCTTGTCAAAAGCATTGAGCGAGCTCCCATAATAAAAGAGTTACCTATTATAGCTCTTCGCGTCGTTAGTTGTGACCCCGCGTATGACGTATTTTCTTCACTAACATTTGTGGTGGCAAGCTGTTTATAAAATGTTCCGACAAACAGCAATTCTGTTTTGTTATCATTGAGCATGGATCAGTTTGTTAGTAAAAACACGGGCGTCGCTAGACCATTTTGAACGGGGGATGCACGTTAATTTGCAGACAGACCGTCACGCAAAACGAGTCTACTGTATACCCCTTGTTTTCATCTTCATTCTCAGTTCTTCTTTTTTTATTTTGCAGACAGACCATGATTTTGTCGACAAAACTAGCCAATGGGGAAGTGTGACACACCCCCAGCGATGCTAGTGACTAAACATTCTTGAACAAATGTGAGCAATACATAGTTGTAGTGTCGATAGACCTGTAGTCTGTTGATTAATATTTGGGTTGAAGGAATTGAGTTGTGTCATCAGCATAACAGTGACAAAAAGAGACCTGAGGACGTGTGTATCAGGTTGCTGGTATAAAGAGTTAAAGAGAAGGGGCCCAAATAGAAACCCTGTGGGACACCAGATGAAATATCAAAGTTTCTAGAAATTTACATCACCCATGACTATCTGTTGCTGTCTGCAACTGAGATAAGACTCAATCCTGCATAGAACAGATCCTCCGATACCGAAGTGGGTAGAAATTATGAACAGGGAGGTTTTCGACTCAAGGGGGAAGTACAGTAATTTATGCGATAATTTTTGCGAACTCACTCAATGAAAATGCCCACACAGTTTCTTTTTTTTAAAAGGAGATTGCTAGGCCAAAAAAGGTAGCATGGTGTAAAAATAGGCCAGGATCCACTCCCTGGTTTGGAGGCTTCCATGCATAACTGTACGGGGGTGTCTAAATCTGCTTTAAAGTTTCTGATGGAATGTTATCTGGCCCTGCTGCTTTCCGTTTTTCAGTTTGAAGATTAATTGCCTTCCTGATTTCAGGTCTGTCACAGTTGATGGGGAGATCAGTCTGCTGGCTGGATATCAAGGGGTTCGTTGGGCTTGGTCGATTTAACAGCTCAGTCCTCGAAGTGTTCCGCCCGTCAATTGAGCGGGTCTTCTTTTGCCATGACGGTCTTTCCTTCTTTATCTTTGACCGGCCTATCTGGTATGCTGTATTTGCCTGACAGCTTCCTGGTGGTGTCATACAGTTGCTTCATGTTGCCACTGCAAGCCTCCTCTTCAACTTCTTCAGCAAGACTGTCTACGAATCTCCGTTTGTCGGCCACGATTTTCTCTGTTTGGTCTGTTTTTTTTTTTTTTACAGTAAGAGGTTGTTATTAGCCCCTTGGCACCCCTTTACATGTAGGACCAGTGGGTTACTCTTCATCTGGCCATCCTCCATTAGCTGGCCTCGCCTCTACCTTTCGATCGGTGTTTGTTTGGGTGGTCCCACCAGTACTTTACACTCCGGCCAGCATAGTAACGTTCTAGGGTTCACTGAGGCGCCCAAGCCCACTGACCAACGACGAGGTGATAACCCGATCAGTGTAAAGTTAGGGGGATGCCATTTAAAAAAAAATGGCAGGCTTGAGAGCTATAACTTTCGGGGTGGGTTTGTTTTGTGTGATTTGTTAAAAATGTAAATGTAATTGGCTAAACCACCGAAAATTGAACAGAAATAGAAAGACTACTGAGTAGACAATAATTAAGTTTTTGTTTGAGAAACTCCGGTAATGTCGGCTTGCCTATCAACAAGCCATGGACTTTGTTGTTTTTCATGATTCTGCGCTGTATTCAATAGGGCATAAGCGCACTGCACCCACGAGACTAACGGTTCGTAGGCGATAACGGTAGGCGTGATAACGCCCTCTGGGGAGGCGGGTTCTTTAACGAAATGTACAACAACGGCTTGAAACCAAGACAACTGCTAATTCTACACACCGCCCTCTACCCCATAGTGTTGAAGGAGGAGGCAATATACAGGAAAAGATCAACGGTAATGCGTTTATGGTAAAAGAATTATACTATTGGGTGACCGATGAATGGTCACAAATCAGGATGGATACGAGTGAGGATTTATTCAGGTGAGGCAGGAATTTTTTAAAGGATTTCTTCAAGTATTACCTCCAATTGTTTTGTGATGAGAGTTTCACATTCGTGTAACGAAAGAATACTTTTATTTGGTGACACAAAAAGAAAACCAAACAAATCCAAGGTACTAGGCAATTCTCAATTTTTTCAATAAAAAGTCCAAGGAAAGCCCCACAGCCACTTTTTCTAAAACAGACAGAGACCACATAACTTTTCGGTGTATTCAGGCTTCTGTGGTGTCCAGCAGCTTGTCAAGGCATGAGGAAAAATGAAAAAGAACACGTTGAGAGAAAATTCTGACACATTTGGACCATCACACTCATTTTTTTTTTATTTCGTCGGTACGCATTTGGAACTGAGACCACATTTTGTACTACACGCGTGGGATTCCGCAATTCCAGGACATGAGTGCGTACTTTCATTATAGGTCCAAATAAATAATTGCGTGTTAATGTACAAGTGTTCTTCTCGTTTGGGATTAATTCAGTAATACACCCGAACACCACCCACACTGCTGTGTTATGCAGAAAGGAACATGTTTTTCAGAGTTTTACACTGCCATCCTTAACATCTGCCTGAATTTATTTTGAGGGTTTAAGTCGCCCATCAGATATTTAAAAACATAGGTCTAGCGTTGCTTTCATTCTTACGCAACGTCCTGCATAATATTAACATGGTATGAAACAAACTTGTATTTGACAGCCCACTGTATGCTGTGAGGTTGGACATGGCCTTTTTACACCTGGAGGACTCCTCACATCCCATCTACGCCCCAAAGGTGGATCTTACGTCCATTGAGTCCTCAAGGGAGATGCCCTTATTGATCCAGCATCGCCGCGCACTGTGTCATTGTGATTGAATATATGTTATTACTTAACGCACAAACTGCAATGTAGTGTATGATTTTAGAAACAGTCGTTTTTATTTAGGGAGCACATGACTAATGATTGTTCTATACAAATGAAATTACATCAGTCAAGATGTAGCTAAATTCCCGCAATTCGACTTTTCCCTCTACTTTCCTCTGCAGTTTTTCCAAACTTCAAATTCATTTCAGTTTAACACATTACAATTACCCTCGTAATATTTGCTGTTGAACCTTTGTGGACAATTTCAGTGTCATGAAATTTAGTCCAAAATTCAAATGCAACTTGGTCAGGATTCCGGAAATTGGCAAATTTTGAATAACCCAACATGCATGAATTGATAAATTCTGACAAATCATCATTAAATCGACTCACAATGCAACTACAAGTTTTTGAAAAGAAAATAAGTCTCATTTTTGCGCGTATTTCTCATTTTGAAATATTTCGAACAGATATTGGTGAATCGGGCCAAAATAGAACTTTATTGGAACTTTGTAGCGGTTGCATAAAGTCAAAATATATGAACGGGAATGATGAGAGCTTAATGAAATTTCATATAATTTTTATTGTGAGATTTAATATAAAAGTGGCCTAGCAAGGCACTACATGTATTTGGGCAATAAATCAAAGTACGTCATGTTAGGGGCCGCGGCACGATAGGATATACTCAAAATAATTATTGGCAGGATAAATAAAATGTAGACTTAAAAACTGGTACCAGTTTGTTTCTGTTGATTTATTTACTAAAGTTTGGCTGTGGCGCAGCTCGTGATTAAATTATTTCAAACTTTGATGAAAAGGCTGAAAGCAAATCACTTGTGCTTTGCTTTTCTCCTGAGTTGGACACATTTAATATGACACTTTTTAAAGTTGTTTCTCATTTTTGGTAAAATTAATAAAGCTATACACTAGATCGCTATTAATATAAGAAAAATATCAGTGTTTACAGCTGAAAATAAATTGACATTGATAAGTGTTTATTGATTCAATCCAGTCGAATCACTATCGCCTGAACCGCTCTATTTTTGGTTC